TTTAGGCCTTAGGGTTTAGGGTTTTGGGAAGGTCATGGGTTCCCCGACTACCCTCAATTATCCATAAATAACCTTCATTATGGGGGAACCCAGGGGGGAAGGATATAGGTTCCCCCAGAATTAAGTCGATTTAGGGATAATTTAGCCTACTTAATGTATTAAGGTTATTTAGGGGGGGAACCTAGAAGGGTAGTATGAGGGGGGTAGTAGGGGAACCCTAAAAGGGGTTTGTGGTTCACAGGCCCTAAATCAGCATAATCAGCATTGTAGTACTCTCGAGTACTTGACCCCCAATTTCAGGGTTTATTTGCTCCTCAAGACAAGAGCCCAAGGCAAGTAGCCCTAAACCCTAAACCCTAAACCCCAAACCCGAAACCCGAAACCCGAAACCCTAAGCTCCTTAACTTTGAAGCCGCCCCCGCCCTCCCCCCCCCTCCCCCCCCTCCCCCCCCCCCCTCCCCCCCCCTCCCCCCCTCCCCCCCCCCTCCCCCCCCCCTCCCCCCCCCTCCCCCCCCCCCTCCCCCCCCCTCCCCCCCCCTCCCCCCCCTCCCCCCCCCTCCCCCCCCCTCCCCCCCCTCCCCCCCCCCCCCCCCCCCCCCCCCCCCCCCTCCCCCCCCCTCCCCCCCCCTCCCCCCTCCCCTCCCCCCCCCCCTCCCCTCCCCCCCCCCCCCCAAGGTGGGAAACAGCGACCTCGGCGAGCTGAGCAAAGCCAATGATTTTGAGGACGGCGGCATGAGGCTCGCAATTAATTCCCTTGGGGGGCCACATGAACCCCAAAAGGGTTTAGGTACATACGTACGTACGTACGTACATAGACATATATACATATATACATATATACATATATACACATATATATATATGTATGTATATGAAGACACATTGCTTGTCAATCTTTAATGGTTATGTGTGCATATAGCTGTCTATGCCTATGAGTGGGGGCGGATGGGGAGGTGATTCGGCTTAGACTTGGAGCTGCTTAGAGACGTTTGGGGGTGTATGGAGGTTGAGGGTGAGGACCGCAAGGGTCCTTGTACGCTGGGGGGGGGGAGAGGGGTGTTTGCCTTCTGCTGGGGTTGCTTCGGGGTGCAGGGTTTAGAGGCTTTATGAGGTATTGGGCTTACAAGCCGGTCGAAAGCGACTTGCGCTGGTTCGCCTTGGCTTTCCGATCTTGGGCTCAGGTGACAAATCCGATGCAGGTGCTTTAAAACCCTAAACCCTAAACCCTTATCCTGGGACAGAGTGCACCTCGCCTAGAGCGTCCGAGTGTGAGCGATTGAACACCCTTTTTATTGTTGGCAAGAAGCCTGGCTGGGCCGGCTCCAGCCTTTCCACTCAACTTTCCGCTTCTCTGGAGCCCCTGTAGACCCGTGTCCGGATGCCATGGGTAGTTGTAAGTAGGGTTACAAGCACACTAAATAGGGTGAAAAGAATAGTTACCCTACTTGTAACCCTACTGCTAACTACCGATGAACCTCCGAGTAGGATCTATGCCTAAACCCTAAACCCTAAACCCTAAACTCAGCAAGAAGGGTCACCCGCAGACGTGGCCTTCTGCCCACAGGCAGTTCGCGATCATGGACCGCCGACCCCCGCCCCGGGAACGGGAGCGGGAACGCGAGCGCGAGCGGGATCGGGATCGTGACCGCCCGCGCTGGAAACCCAGGGGCTTGCAGGGCTCAAGACCCAGGATTTGCTGGGTAGGCCCTTGGTATATTTCATATATTTTCCAGTGTTGGTTTGAAGAGGATCATCGTCAGGAGGATTTTTCAGAGGGTTTAAGGGCCCCGTTGGAGAACCCCAGAAGTTCATGCGAAGTGACCTTTCCAAACCCGAAAGCCCGATATAAACTTTAAGGCCCTAAACCCTAAACCTAAACCCTAAACCCTAAACTTTAATCTCTTTAAGCAGAAGCAAGCAGATGAATGCTTGGGGCCGCAGTTCATCATGACGGGCGTGGTGTGCTTGGGGTTTGCAGCTTTGCTTCGATGGGTTTAGGGTTTAGGGTTTAGGGTTTGGGGTTTAGGGTTTAGGGTTTAGGGTTTAGGGTTTAGGGTTTAGGGTCTGGTTCGCCCGCGGCCATGCCGGAGAGGGCCTCGTAGTCGCAGCGTGGTCATAGGCATCAAGATGAGCGTCGACATTTTACACTTTTTGGGATATTCTGTACTCCCCTATAGAACTGAAAGTGCAAACTTTTTTTGGGGGGGCTTATGAACTCAGCAACTCAGCATACCCGTGAGCACAGTCACAAACGGAAACACAAACGCGGAACCGCAGAGCTACTAACAATCATCTGCTCCTACACCCTGTAACAACGCCTCCTGGCACTAAATCCTTAAAGCCCGAAATGCGGTCAGCCTCGAAAACTCTGCTTGCAGGTTCAATGGGTAGTTCAAAGTAGGGTTCTGAGTATGGTAGCTATACGTATCATAACCCTCTTATACCCTACTTACTGCCTACTTAGGGTATGTATAACCCAACGAACCGCTCAGTAAGCATTCTTGGCCCCAACCCCACGCAGCTTCGATCCGTTAGGCCGCAGTCGCTCCAGGAAGAGGCGGCAAGTGGGAGTCTTCGTTTTGGGCTCCCTCCCTGTCCCAGAGCCTACCCCTGAATTGCAAACTCCAAAAAGTTAGCCCAGCTCTGAGTGCGTTGAAGGGCTTAGGGTTGAGGGCTTTGGGTCCCTAGGCATTTTTTTACTCAGCCGTTTTGGGGGGCCTGGGTCGAGGCTTCCAGGGGGTCCCTATAAAACCTCTGACGCACGGCGAACGCCAGCTCGAAGACCAACTCCTCACCATCCCTAAGCCATACAGAGCCCTGTAAGTATCAACTGCCCAGTTCCCCTGCCCCCCGTCACTTCCCCACCCCCTTACCCCCAAAACCGCTTAGCTATATGGACCCTGTAAAGGATCATAACTGAACCCTATTCTGGCACTACAAGACCTTTCAGCCCTACTTGCAGGTTCATGGGTACTTGCAACTAGGGTCTTATGAGCTAGAAGTTATAAGTACCCCCAAGAGAGGTTAACAGCATATTGTTACCCTACTTACAAGCAATACCCCTTACCGAAGGAAAAATAGCCTTGAGAGGTACATTTTTCAATTAAGGGTTATTGGGCTCTTTGGTTACCCATGAACCTCCAAGCTAGCCCTAAACCCTCAACCCTCAACCCTCAACCCTGAACCCTGAACCCTAAACCCTAAACCCTAAACCCTAAACCCTACCCCCCATGCCCCGCAGCCACGACAGAGGCGGAGCCGCTCGCGGCGCCGGAGCCGCTCCCGGCGCCGGGAGCGCACGCCGCGGCGGGAGCCGCCGCGCCGCTCGCGCTGCGATTGGTGGGAGGGTTCAGGGTTTAGGGTTCAGGGTTCAGGGTTCAGGGTTTAGGGTTTAGGGTTTAGGGTTTAGGGTTTAGGGTTTAGGGTTTAGGGTTTAGGGCCATTTTGGGGGGCTAGCCCTATACCCTAACCCCATACATCCCAGGGCTTTAAGGAAGTCAGTTTTGAGGGTTCCTAATGGAACTGCTACGGGGGGGGGCGCTGATGCCGGTCTTTGAATACAGAAGAGCCCAATACCCCTGATTTACGGCATATACCTTAAATCATATTAATTATTGGCTCCCTAGATAATCACCTCGACGACGATGAGACCCCTCCCCGAAACCCTGTCACTCTCTGGAGGTTCTACTGTTTGCTATCTTGTTTGCCATTGTGGAGTACTTAAGATTCCTGCCTTTAACAGACGCGCAAAGTTGAGCAGATCTTATAGCCCCCGCATAAGGTTTCGGATCCCTGTAGCCTAAAACTTCCGCCATTCAGGCCGCGAGAAGGAGCGCAGCAGGTCCAGAGAACGTTGCGTCCCTGGTGGGCCCGGGGCGGGTGGGGTGGGTTTTTTTGGGAACAATTAGGGTTTAGGGTCAGGGTTCGAAAGGATCTTGCATAAGATGAGCACCCTCCTGGTCAGGATTCTCAGAAGAGAGAACGAGGTGGCACGAACTAGGCTTTGTTTTCTCCCTTACAGCAATCATAGCCCGCTCACATCGTAGTAACCATGTCGGTTTTTGGAGCTTAAAGGACACCATTTCAATGGTGCCCATGATGGGACTCTGTTTCAGATTAACCTCTGTTAATGGTTCAGGAACTCCAAAATGTAAGTCATTTCCCAGAGACTCCAGTACCCCTAAATTATAAAGAACATTCCTTAAAGTATGGTTTAGGGTTTGGGGTTTAGGGTTTAGGGTTCCGGGGGAAACCCTGATATGCTCCTTACTTAAGGGGTATTGGGGTTCTTGCTGGCACGCCATCGCACAGAACACTTTTTTTGGGTTTAGGGTTTCGGATTTAAATGCACCCAGAGACCCCAATGACCCCTTAGTTGAGGAATATTCCTAAAACCATATAAGGAACCCTCGTATGTTTGAAGGGATTTTGCTCATTTTTTGAAGGGGTATCGGAGTCTCTGGGCAGGCTCCGGGCCTACCAGTAGAAGTTTCGCAGGTGAACCCTGAACCCTAACACCTAAACCCGTTCACGGTGCATGTGTTCCGCAGAAGCCTTAGAGGCGGATGGGCAACGTTGCGCCCTTGTTACTTTGTACTTGGAGGTTCAGGGTACTTAGCTTATAAGCCAATTCTGACCCTATTTGGGTACTTAAGGGGCTTATAAATGGGTTACAACTGCACTTGTTGCTGGGTTACTAAGTACCCGGGTCCTGCGTGGTCATTCCCAACCACTTTGCTTTTCAGATTCGCTCATTCAGCCGTAGTCCCGAGACGTGGCACATAGTCCCCAGACTGCTGCGGCCACCGGTCAAAGAGTTTCTGGGATTAGGGTTTAGGGTTTAGGGTTTAGGGAACTTAGAACTGCCCTCCCCCTCCCTTCCCCCCAAGCATCGACCTTCACGCTCCCACTGGCTCCCCCCCATTCGTCCCTTTCGGTTCAGAGCCGCGTGCTGTCCTTTCAACAACCCGATTTTCACGCTACCCGAAAGAGGGGAAGCCATGCCGGACGTCAGGAGAGGTGGTGGTTTAGGGTTTCGGGTTTAGGGTTTAGGGTTTAGGGTTTAGGGTTGTAGCACTTCGCTTCTTCGGGATAAGCTTGCAGTTTTGTGCTTGAGCACGCATGGGTACTCGACGTGGAAAGAAGTGTTGCAGCATGAGCTGCGAAATGCTTCGAAGTTCAGTGTATTCTTCGCACATTACCTTTACACATGTACATGATAAATTCAAAGTATAAACCTTGGGTTTTCCATTCGCATTGTTCGCGCTCTGTTCCTGCATCATGTGCGCAACTGACGCGTGAATGTCAGGGTTTAGGCTGTCTGGGTGCTTGAAAGGACCTTTCAGGACAGAGGGTTCTGCCTTTGCGGACCAAATCAACCCTCAAATGGTTTCTGGTTCATCTACCCTAGTAAATGGGGATTATAGTAGTATATGGCCCCAACTTCTGAGTTTATTTGGTCCCCAAGGTAAAGTTCTGAGTTCCTTTCAAGTTATAAACCCCGAAACCCCAAGCCCTAAACCCTAGACTGTTTTTTCCCACTGTGTCCAGGACGTCGAGCGAGAAACAGGTCACTCGCAGACCCTTGCGACCGTTGCCGCTTTGGCAGCAAGTCTCGAAAGCCTTGGGGACAAAATCAACCCTAGCATTAGGGTTTTGGGTTTAGGGGTCCTATACCCAATCTCGGCTCCTGCCAAGCACTGCTTGCAGTCAAACTCCAACAAACATCTAGGACGCTAAGCCCGAAACCCTAAACCCTAAACCATAGGAGCACCACGGTGGTGTGCGCCACCCTTGCCGGGCTCTTCGGCGCTGCCTTCGTGGGCGGTGGCGCGCCCACGCTGCGGGACACGGCCCGGAGGGGTTCTTGCTGCGGGGGATCGGAAGTTGTTTGTTCTTCGTTGCTTTCTTTCTGTAGGTGTTGCTTGACCCTAAATCCGTTAATCCTTTCTATTGGAGTGCTGGGACGCAAGTAATGTCAAGAAATTACTGTGGTACACATGAAGCCTCCGAACTCCTCATAGGAAAGGTTTCTGTACGGCATTCGGCATTTTTGGTAGCAGTCCATGACATCGCGCAGCACCTGGGTATTCAATTGTGTTCAATAGCCACGGCACCTGCTTGCAGGCAACGTGCAGCGACAAGCGACACCACACGTAGTGATACTGCGGACAAGAACAGAAGTGCCAAAGAGCTGCAATCCAGCAAGGCTGCCCAGAAACGAATGTCGCTCGTTCTGCTGCAGTGTGAGGCGCCAGACGTTGAAGGCTGCGTCACCATGGGCACAAGGCAGGCACCGTCACCCTTTCTTGATTGGAGTTGGCTTTGGCGTGGTGGGGTGGATTCATGATCGACGGCGGGCTGAGTAGATTTCAGGATTGCGCGGTGGAATGATTTATTACAAGATCTTCCTACGGTCGTAAGCTCATATACAGAATATTGCCAGAAGCGTGCAGCTCAGATGCGGCCCGGCTCAGTGGGTTCGGCGTACGGGCGCGGGAGCTTGCAGGAAGGACATGCGACACGCAACAGGCGAAGCAGCTGTAAATTCATCCTTAAACCCTAAACCATAAACCCTAAACCCCATGAGCAGTCAGTGCCGGCATGTGCCCACCTTCTGGCAGGTCTCGTACGTGGCAGGGTGGCAGGCCCAACAAAGCAATGCACTTCGGCAGCATGTGACATGCATGAAAAACTTTCGGTTTAGGGTTTAGGGTTTAGGGTTTAGGGGTTAGGGTTTAGGGTTTAGGGTTTAGGGCCGGGAGAACTAGCAGGGAAGCATAGGCAGCCGTTATTTTCTGAGCAGCAGTGCCCGGAGAATTCCGTCTGCATCATTTGCTCTCGCCTTGCAGCAAGAAGTAGACAGTGCGAGCATGCACGTATGAAGTGATGATTCTCACCAATAGTTCCTAGGCCGTAAAGCAACTTTAAGTGCAACAAAAGCAGAGTTGAAAAGACTCACCCGTTCGGAGTGTTTTGGTTTGTTCTGCGCCCTACTCCATGCGTGCGTCTACAAGAACCCGGAGTGTCCCTTAAATTCACTTTTTGAGGGTTTAGGCTCCCTTTTCAGCCCCTTTACACCAAAAAAAGGCGCCCTTTTATTCCTAGAGGTTACTTTTGTGACCAGTCTCTGGTGCCCGTTTAGTCTCTTTGTAAGGGTTCCGGCATTCGCTTGCATAAGCGATAGCAAGGCTGCTCTTCTCTTAAAGTTTTTCATTTTTTTTTAAGGGCCCTTGGGTATATAAGGGGTATAAAAGGAAACCCACAAGTAAGGGCACATATTGAGGGGGAGCATGATACTACTCTACTATGCTAGTTGGGCAACCCCTGCCTTGTTCTAGTTGACACCTGTTGGGGGCTCAAGACCTGCTGAAACGGCTTTGATCACTATGGTCGTTCCGATTCAGGCTCCCCGAACCCCGAGAAGCTCTACCCTAAACCCTAAACCCTAAACCCTAAACCCTAAACCCTAAACCCCTCGGTAGCCCAGTGGCGCCTTTCGCAATGTTCGTTGAGTTCTGGGTTCCCTTCTCAAGTACCCAACCCCAAAAACGGGCACCCCAACCAAAAAATATGGGCACTGGGCTACCAAGCCCCCCTAAGCCCTAAACCCTACCCCCTACCCCCTAAACCCTAAACCCTAAACCCTAAACCCTAAACCCTAAACCCTAAACCCCCATGAAGCGCACCTCAGGATTCGTTCAAGGAAGGGTAAGATGCCCTCGGTGAACAACATGAAGGACACGCAGCTCGGATGCAGAGCGTAGCCTCACCGCTAGGGGGGCAGAAGGGTTTAAGAACTACGAAAGACGAACATGTGTAAGTATGGAATTCACTGTGAGGAGAACCTCTTCCCGATATATAATTATATATAATATATATATATGTAATGAGCCTAAATTTCTCAGATGTAATATTCTGACGGGTGGGTCCTGATATGGACCAGGGCAAGTTCTCGGGAGTAGGGAAGCGAAGGTGGATGGAAGGGGCTGTCATCCTCGGACTTTTCCCTCAAAGCCTCCAAAGCACCTGCCCTGAACCCTAAACCCCAAACCTTAAACCGCAAACCCTATAAACCCCATAAACCCTGTAAACCCTACAAGTCCTATAAACCCTATAAACCCTAAACCCGAGGCCCTAAAGAACCCAAGCGAGCAATCCGGCGGCTGCTGGGACTCCAAGGTACTTCATCGTGTATTGCCGTTCCCCGAAGATCAAGGAGGGAGCTGCCAATACTGTCGGTGGTTGTTGCTTGAAGGTTCATGGGCAGTTGTTAGCAGGGTTACAGGCATGGCAACGATACTTTCAACCCTACGCCCTACTTCGGGGGAATTCTGACCCTATACCCTAAACCCAGTAGTTTCGGCATGGCCCTGCTTCGGACATGTCGGCTGTGATAGAATGCCAAGGCCCGCCCAGCGGCGCTGAGCGGATGTTATCCCTAAGCACCTTCACTTCAACGTCTCTCCTAGCCTCTGTCCCCGGATCTTCCAAAACCCCTTAATTCAGGAATGTACCCGAATTCAATAGTAATGATCCTTAGCACACATTAGGGTACATTCCTTAAGGGTTTTTTCGGAAGATCTGGGTCTGCATGGTCCTTCAGGAGTGGAAGCCCCTCAACATCGTCAGCGGGTCCGAGGTGCGGCGCTAGGGGTGCGAGTAGCGTGCGAATCGAAGCCCGTATCACATGTGCCCCAGCATTTGGGTCATATAGCCAATGCTACGAAAATCCCTATGAAGGTGTATGAAGCATAGACCCTCATCGGGTACATGAGCATAAACCCTTTTTCGGTATCACTTCGAAAAGGGAGCCCACAGACTCCAATACCCCTGAATTAAGGGATATTCCTTAAAACATATAAGGAACCCTCATATACTTTCAGAACAAGTTGCTTGAATAGCCAGTGAAAGCGAGTCTGCCGCCTGGAGCTTCGAGGGACGTCCTTGGGAAGAGATCTAGAGTTTAGGGTTTAGGGTTTTAGGGTAGGCCCTTGGGCTATTGCTTATTCTTCCTTTTAGAGGGTTGACGGGCCATCTTAGATGCGCAAAGAAGTTCTCGTCTCTCGGTGCACATCGAGTTGAGGAGTTTACATTCGGGCTGGGTCCGCCTCACGACTACTTGGAGGTTCAGAGCACTTATGACCCCAAGTACTTGGAGATTCAAGGCTGCATATAAGTAGGGTAACTATGGATATAACCTTACTTAGGGTGCTTATAACCCTATTTGTAAGTACCCATGAACCTCCAAGTATAACTGTACTTATAAGCCTACTAGGTCCTCTGAGTAGGTCCTCTGACTAGGTAGACATATAATTGGGGGTTATAGGGTTAGGATTATAGAGCCTAGAAGCCCAGGTCACAACCAAAAGCACCCCAACCCAACCCCGACCCTAAACCCACAGCAAAAGAAACTCAAATAGCAACAAGTAGGGTTTAGGGTGTAGGGTTCCGGGTTTAGGGCACACAACAAGAAGTCGTCTACTGTCCAGTTGCAAAAAAGGGCGTACCATAAGAAATGCAATAAGGAAAAATGAGTCAATAGAGCCTTAGGCAGGTGAAAGAGGAGTTATTTTAGGTGGGGGGGGGGGGGCCCAAAGAGCCCAATAGTGCTTAATTAAGGAATATTACCTTAAATCATACTTAGGATCCCTTAGTATGATTAAAGGATTAATTCCCTTAATAAAGCAATCTTGGGCTCTTTGGGAGGGGGTTGGGGGGGGTGAAATGTCCGACCAGGCCATGAAAACCCTGAAGAGCGCCACGGACAACAAGATTGCCAAGACCGTCGGCGTTGACAAGCTGCTTGGCTGTGATTTAGGGTTTAGGGTTTAGGGTTTTTTTTTAGGGCTGCCATGCGCTTCCAACATGCTTGCTGTACATAGGGAAAATACTCGGCGCGCGCGTTGGCGCAGTGCGTAAGAGGTCGCCAAACCGTGTGTCTTTGGATACTAAATGTTTTAGGCCCAGGAAGTCCCTTCGGGCTTCTGGGTCTGCGGCGGAGTGGTGGTTATAAAACCTTACTGCTTCCGTGGAAACTAGTTCAAACCAATATCTACAGGGGTGTCCTCTTGTGCGGGCCTTAGTAAATCTGATTCGGTCCTTGTATCCGGGAGAGAACACTACATGGTGAATGGGGTCCTGGGGGCTTGCTAATATAGAGCTCTGGAGTAATCCAAATTGTTGCGCCAGCAGTGTTTGGGAGGGCAAACATGGCTTGCCTGCAATTTTCCAAACCTTCTGGTTGGATATGTGTGAGCAGTACGAGGATTTGATTTTAATGGAGCGTCTAAGATACCTATGGTACCAGGCGTCGATTTTTTTGAAGGAGTGGGTTTCTAGTGTGAGGACATCCAGGGAGTATAGCAGGACAGGAACAATGCAGCTATGGAAGATGTGGGTTTTTACTTTAATGGGTAGTTTGCTTTGCCATATGTGTTGGAGCTTCATGAATGAGGAGTGAGCTAGTTCCATTCTGTGCTGAATGGCGATTTTTGGCGGAGTAGTCCAGCTGATCCTAGAGCCCAAATATTTAACCTGATCGCTTACAGGCACTGGAGTGCCATCGGCAAAGCTGATGTCTGCCTGTGCGCTGGGGTGGCGGAGTAGTTCGGTTTTCGTGTAATTGAGTTGTAATCCATATAAAGATGCTTCTACCTGTACGCATGCCAAAAATGATTCGAGCTGTGGTGCCGTGACTGCCATTAGAAGAGTATCATCTGCGTATTCTAGATCATAAATGGGCTTGCCTATTGACCAAGTGTTTTGCGGTGTACCCTCGCTCCTAAGCCGAGCGTCGATGTCGTGGAACAATACTGTCATGATCATGATGAACAAGTAAGGGCTGAGTGGACAGCCCTGTCGTATGCCACTTTTAGGCGTGCCCCAACTTTTCTCTTGAGAGAATCCTTGAGGGTTTAGGGTTTAGGGTTGGTGTTGTGCTCTTGCTTCTTCTTGTTCTTTCGTTTTGGGAAGATGGTGGGAGTCATAGCGAATAACATTGCCGCCTGATGGATCCAGCTGGTGTGCATCGGGGACCGCTTGAGAGACCGGGGACGGGGAGATGCAGTTCAAAGAGCGGAACTCGCATCCACATGCGCCTTGTTCCACCCAGATCTTCCTAAGCCCCTTAATTAAGAAATATACCCTAATTCATATTCATGACCCTTAGTACAAATTAGGGTATCTCCTATATTAAGGGGTTTTGGAAGATCTGGGCACTGAGGTTGGCAGAGGGCCAGGTCGTGAAGGGAATTGGCATGCCTCCTTTCTGCACTAGAAGGGGGCGAGGTGGGCGACTCCATACGACCCACGCCAACCTGAGGCAACTGATAGCAACCCTAAATGGCATAAAAAAACAGTAGTGTAGGCTAGCATGACCCCAATTTCAGGGTTCATTCGGTCCCCAAGCCGAGTTGTCCGGGGAACCAAGCTTTGTGTAGGGTTTAGGGTTTAGGGTAATGTGGTCCTGCATCATTCGTCAGCACGCGGAGGTCTCGACTAGACAGGTCTTGTGCTTTGTGCAACATGGGTTCCTGCGACGCTCTTTCCAAACCGTTGCGCACACGCTACACTCCTATGCCCCATACTGTAGCAGTCCCGGAACAAGGCCGAGTGCCGCTGACCCTAACCCTAAACCCTAAACCCATAAACCCTTCAGGCAGCTCTACAAGCAGAAGGATGAGATCCTGGATCAGGCCCTCGTTTACTTTGGGTTCTTGGCCCAAAGAGCCCAATATTGCTTAATTAAGGAATATGCCTTAAATCATATTAAGGATCCCTATATGATTTAAGGAATATTCCTTAATTAAGCAAAATTGGGCTCTTTGGGGGGTGGGCCTAGAGAGGAAGCTTTTTTTATGTGATATGTAGACTGTGCGATGTTCCTCGTTATGCTAACAGTCCTTAATGTAGAGATAATGATAGGGAGTACTACAATCCCTATTGAGGACCTGTTAGTATAAGGGGGAGCATCCCAATGTAGACCACATGCCTTCTCAACATGTAAGCATGCACATGCTCTTTAGAGACTCTAGGGGTTTAAGACACCCTAAACCCTAAACCCTAAACCCTGAACCCTAAGACTTCAGATGCCAACAGAAGGGCCTAACAGGCTTCAGGGGACTTCACATGGTCACTTCTCGAAAACATGGTCCCTTTTGAGGTCCTTTCGTAAGGTGGCTTCTGTTATCGAGGGCACCCCAAAAAGGGACCAGAATTTAGAGAACTGACCACATGTCCGTTTGACACACTTTCCCTAAACCCTAAACCCTGATGAGGTTAGGCCGGGTGGGTGTAGGGGTGTTAACGTTAAGGCCAATTTGGGTCCACGAAACTCAATACCCGCAGCTAGTGCTGCATCGCCAAGCCTTGACGAGTCAGCTTGCGCGCTCTTTTTGGTCATTGTAATTGCCTTTGGAATATCCAGAACATGCCAGCCTTGAAGTTCGTTGGAGTGCCTTGTAAAGTACCAGCAGTGTTATTCCGGCCGAAGTTGCCTCATGCAGCGAAGATTGAACAGAGGATCCATACGGATCTCAGGGGCCGACAGTATAGAATGTTTCTAAAGACCTGCTATGTGGCGCCCAGGGCTCCCCTGATTAGTCAGCTCGAGTACCCTGATCCACTGCAGGCTTTTGCCATGCCAAGGCGATTCCACAGACAGAATCGCTAATTCTACCAATTAGTAATTTATTCTGTAGTTCAGTCTCCAAGTGGATGCTTCGAGACCGTCCGAGTGACTGTTTGCAGAAACCCTAAACCCCAAACCCCAAACCCTATACCCTAAACCCTTAACCCTAAACCCTAATCCCGAACCCTAAACCCTAAACCCTCCGTGTTCTTGCGCCCCCAGCAGGCCCGGCAGATGCACCCGAGCATCAAGTATACCGAGAATGTTCAGTTCGGCTTCAAGGACTCCCCCCAGATCTTTAGAGTTTAGGGTTTAGGGTTTGGGGTTTAGGGAATGTACCCTATCTCACAATCATGTTCCTTAGTATAAATTTGTGTATATTCCTTCACGGGGTTTTGGCAGATCCTCCTCTCTACTGCTTGTGCTGAAGTACCCCCACAAAAAAGGGTTTAGGGTTTAGGGTTTAGGGCCGGGGTAAAAAAAGGGCTACAGTTTGCTTAAGAAACCCACCCCAATAATATTCTTCCATATAACGTCAATTTGGGGATGATTGATTTTTTTTACAAAGATGACTGCGCTTTCCTGCTCTTCTGCAGGTGCTGCTGCCTTCTCTAGAGTTGCCCTAAGCCTGAACCCTAAACCCGAAACCCTAAACTCTGCCTGAGCCGCAGGAGATCAAGAACAACACGGTCTTCAACGACAACCCAGGCAAGGGCTGCAACAAACCTTCTGCATGCCTGGGCAACAAGAGAGGTTGAGGGTTTAGGGTTCAGGGCTGTTCGCTTAACAGACCCCCCCCAAAAGAGAGACTACGATTTGCTTATAAGAGCCCCCCCCCCCTACCCAAACAACAAAAAAACAGAAGAAGGAAGGAACCCTTATTCCTTGTTATAAGGGTAATAGACAGTAGGGGTTATCTTCTTAGCCTACTGGTTGCTTAAGAACCCCCAAACAAACCAAAATATGTCGTCTGCATAAGGGTTATATAGGCGTTCTTACCTTCGACTACTATTCGCTTGCAAGAATCCCCCCCCCCCCCCCCCAGGAAAAAAAAACTCACATCACAAGCCCTCCCAGTCCTGTCGGAGGCCAATTCATGGACATGAGGAACATCGAGCTGATTCCTCCCGAGGCAGAGCCTTTCACACCCCTGTGAGAAGCCCTGCGCCCGCAGTTTTTTTTCCTGGAACCCCCTCTCTTGCACTGTTAGGAGCCGCCTTCAACAACAAGGTATACTGCATGCTCGCTGAGCCTTGCAGCTTCAGCTCCCAGGTAATTCCAACAGCCCTAAACCCTAATCCCACGTTGCACACTAATCCCGATCTGATGAATAGATGCAGCAACCTCTAGCAGTGAAGTCTTGAAGTAAGAGATACTAAGAGCATGCAGCCGCAGAAATGCCTCAAGAAGTCAAGTTAGTGCAGAGCAATGATTCCTATCGCTAACCCTCAACCCTAAACCCTGAACCCTAGATGGTGACAGTAAGATGGACCTTCCCTCGATTGTGGAGTCGCTAGCATCCGCCGGAGCGCCTGCTGGCAGCAAAGCTGCCCTCATTTGTACCCCATACTCCCGAAATTTTAGACCCTCCTACAGCCTGTTCCTAGACCCTAAACCCTAAGCCCTACACCCTAAATCCTAAACCCTAAACCCTAAACCCTAAACCCTAAACCCTAAACCCTAAACCCTAAACCCTAGCCCTAAACCCCAAACCCAAGAAAGCCTTTGCAGGAGGAGTTGAGGAACCTTCTGGACGACGCAGGTGAGGCCGTCGAGGAGGTGCAGAGCCAGGCGCTCTTTTGCAGAGAGGAGGGCTTGTAGGATTTTAGGGTTTAGGGCTAGGGTTTAGGGTTGTTTAGGGTTGAGGGTTCAGGGTTGTTTAGGGTTTAGGGCTAGAGTTTAGGGTTGTTCGGGGTTTAGGGTTCAGGGTTGTTTAGAGTTTAGGGCTAGGGTTTAGGGTTGTTTGAGGTTTAGGGTTCAGGGTTGTTTGGGGTTTGGGGCTAGGGCTTAGGGTTGTTCAGGGTCTAGGGTTGAGGGTTGTTTAGGGTTTAGGGTTTAGGGAGCACGATGGAGAATGGATAGCCATTGGCATGTACGAGAAGAGGGGGAGCTCAGGGCCTTCATGGATACCTTTTGACGCAGACTGACCCCTTGAAAAAGAACCCAGGGGGTCCATCGGTAGTAGGTTTAGATGGAATTAGCCACCCTGTTTAGTATGGTTTTTCGTACCGAGTTCCATAGTTGGTACAAGAGAGAGACCCCTTCCTCTACGCGGGTGCTGAGGTTTGGGGTGGCGGCGGCAGCGTTCAAGCAAAAAAAACACATCCGGGACTGAAAGCTCGGAGCCTTGGAATCCCATCCGTGGCCAGGTGAGCAAGGTTGGAGATCAGGTGAAGGGCTTCTTCTCCTCTGGCGGCAACTGAGGAATCAGTAGACCACTAGTTCTGTCAGCAGCCGAGAGCCGCCACCTACCCAATTCGCTCTGTAGCGAACTAAAATGAACAGATTGTTACTACCTGCAAGACCTGAAAAGCTGGTACTCTGCACCGAGGATGTCATCTGTCCAAAAGCGACGGACCTAACCTTACAAGCAACAGTTCTCCTAGAAAACCCCTAGAAGTACGTCTTTGTCTATTCAATGTACTCCGAATATGGACCGTATACTCCCTTTGAGGACCTGCTAAAATGGGTGCTGTGCCCAAACCTTTGGGTACAACCTTTGGGGTCCGTAGAGTCCTGTGAGAGAGAAATGACGGTGAGGTCGTTCCAAGCATGGGGTCCTGTTCTGCCCCTCCGTCTGTTTTTGGGTGCGGTAGCGATAATCTCGGGGTGGGAGTAGTTTTGGGCTTAGGGTTTAGGTTAGTTTAAGGTATAGGGCCTAGTTTAGGGTTTTAGGGTTAGGGCGTCAGACCTGGATGCAAAAAGGGTTAGGGTTTAGGGGTTTAGGGGTTTAAAGTAGGATCCACAATCCAGCCGAAAACGGGCAGCTGTAGTCCTAGTAACCGATGAATCAGATCGGCTCTCTGCTTTGTCCGTTCCCTGAGAGGGAAGGGACGGCACCGAAAGACAGCTGTTTGCTATCGACTTCTTACTGTGGATAGCATTCAAGTGCTTTGCTGGTTCTCGGCCATCACCCCCCACACCCCGACCGGGCCCCACTAAGTCGCAGGGCACCTACCACCGGTCCTGCTGTAGCCTTGTACAACTCACTGCTCCTGTACCGCATGGGTCGCAGGATTTCAACAACCCAGGCAGTTCTAAGCCCTCACCTATGTAAATTCCCGATCTCTTCATGGTTATAATGATTATTCTGATTATTATTATTACAAACCCTAAACCCTAAACCTAAACCGTTGTTACTATCATCAGTATTATTAGGAATACTAGTATTCTTACCACTAGTATCAGAAGTATGCAGGGTGCCAGGGTGCGCATGCAAGAGAAGTGCGTATCCACAGAGCTCCTGCGGCTCAGCCTCAGTTCTCAGAGAAGCTTCGCCAAGAGATGTCCTCCCATCTGAAAAGCTGTAAGTTCATCCATGAGGGTTTAGGGTTTAGGGTTTAGGGTTTAGGGTTTAGGGTTTAGGGTAATCTTAAACCCTAAGGTCCTTGGGACTCTCATTTTAGGGTTGTTGGGCCCACAGACCTTCTCATACAAGGTTCTTGGGCTATTCTGAGCCTAAGGGAAAAAGCTGTAACGGATAAGCCGCAGCGGTAGCATTACGCCCGAGGGTTGCTTGAAGTCTTGCTAGGCTCAGGCCTCTGTACAACTTGAAGGTTACAAAACAAAATAGTTGCTGTCCCACATGTTGCGTACAGGCATCGAGTGCCGACGTGTAAGACCGGACATACCTGGGCCTAAGTTAGTTACAAGAACCTCGGACCTCAAACGTGTATAATGTGCCACCGAGCCATAGCCTGCCCTAGCCGTGAAACTGAAAGCCGACACGCCTTTGGTTGCAACACACACACACACACACACGCTCATGTGGTCTAAGCTCCCAAGTCCACGGCCAAGAAGCGTTCTAGTGCTGCCCGCGTTATCTCCGCCGACTTCTCGTCGAGACCGACCACTGCTGCAGCAAAAAACATCGCCAAGAGCTCGAGCCTCTAGGCCTCTAGGTTCTTGCAACTTGCACTTGCCGGATTCCCACCCCTCATGACGCCGCCCGCAGGGAACCTTGCAACAAATTCCGTCTTGTTGCGTAGAGTTCGGGACGGAATCAAGAACCTCAGGTAACCTTAGGCTCAAAATAGTCCAAAACCTTATATAAGAAGCCTTAGGGGGCTACAAAAGCAAGAACGTTTTCGGATCTGAAGAGTTGCTTTTAATTATCTAAATTTTTGAACTTATTAAATTATTAAATTATTACATAACTCCAATTATTAAACTATTAAATCATTAGATTATTAAATTATCTCTCCAACCTTCTTGGCGGCTAAGGCCCCGCAGAGAAGCAGGAGGCGGGTGGCTGCTTGGAAGGTTGAGAGCGAAGGGAGAAGTAGCTAGCTATGTGAGGGCGGGGGGGGGGGGGGGGGTTTAGGGTTTAGGGTTTAGGGTTTAGGGTTTAGGGTTTAGGGTTTAGGGTTTAGGGTTTAGGGTTTAGGGTTTAGGGTTTGGGAGGCTTGCGATATTTGGGTTACCTTGTTGGGGTTCTTACTCTAAGGGGATCCTGCTATTTGGGGGTCTAATTTACTGGTCCCTCTATTTTCGTAAAACCCCGCATAACACAGGGAAGGCAAGGATGGCTTGGAGGTTTATCGTGTACGCGCAACACAAAGAGACCAGACGTGATTTCAGAACCTCCAATATACTTCTGATCTCAGCTGTGAAGTGGAACAGAGCGTTCACGTGAACAAATGCTACATGTGTAGATGCGACATGCCATCCTTCGCCCGTAGTAGGACGCAAGATCAAGACTGCTTGGCTATCACAAAGAGAGCGAAACAAGGACCGCACGGCACCAAAGAGGTACTGCTTTATAACATGACATTCTCAGGCATCTCCGCTCAGAGACCTCCATGATGACCACTTATAACCCCTAACCACGCCCTACTCTTGGAATTTGAGAGCAGCCACATGGACGAATCCGTCGCGACCCCTCGGCGCAGACCTGCGGCCAAGAGACGCAAGAGGGCACCCGATGTTTCCGCAGCTCTCAGCCGATGGGTGGTTGAGAATGTGCAGCAGGCGCGCGACGTCATGCGCTCACGGTCTCGCGGAGGCTACCAAGAAGCAGCCGGTCGACTTGTTGCGGTCCTTGAGACTGGGTCATGGTTGAAAATCCTTTTAAACATGTTTCTGAATACATAGGCCCAATAAGGATCAAACATGATCATTTTTCAGGAAGTACCCCAAGAATGGCGCAGGAGAAGATGCCTGATCTGTGGCAAGAGCTACATGAAGAGTTGCTTCTCGCAGTATGGCTTGGCTCGGACGCTGCCTTGCAGGCGAGGTTGGCGGAGGGAGCAGCAGGATCTCCTACTAACTGAGTAGGTAACCTTTAACCTTTTGGGGTATATATATATATATACTCTTACCATAGTTGAAAAGGTGAGCTTTTTTTTTTTGACCCAGGGTACTCAGCAACTAGGATCTCTGGTGCGTGTCTCTGGCCCTGGGCTTCCTGGCTTCCTTCAACCGCAGAGCCTATATCCCCCCTTGGGAATTGTTTTTCTTCCATTTTTGTGTATGTAAAACCCAAGAGGCTATTAAAAATATGACCTTTGTTTTAAAAGGTTCTAAGCGGAGTATAGGAACCTGTCCAGCCTCTTTGCGATGATTGGCAACGCCTTGGCGGATGAGGGCCGCTACTGCTCGGCTCTTCGAGCCTTACATCGGGGTCTCAAGCTCGCACCTGACAAAGCGTCTCAGGATTGTAGGGTTTAGGGTTTGAGGGCATGGCCGAGAGTTTATAGGGTTCTTAAGGGAGACCTTCGGGAAGCTTAGGGAGTTTTAGGGAGTTGTAGGGAGTATTGGGGAACCTGGGGAAACCCTAAACCCTAAACCAGGACGACTCGGTCTGCATCTTGTTGGGGCTTCGGTCTCGCGCGCTGGCGCTGTGGCACTTTGCCATGCTCAACGACGGCCCGAGGAATCGCGCGTTTGCCGGCGCGATTCGCGATGCCCTACACGATTTGGGGGTAGGACCACATGAAGGGCATCGGTACACCTGCCTGGATATCGGAACCTTGGGTACCACATGAACCCATAGAGGTGGGGTCATATACCTTTTCCTACGCCCTAAATCACTGTAGGTTGCACTTGGGCCCCAAGGAACAGGCATTGGCTTACTGTAATCCCGAATCGTATATTTGGGGTTCATCTGGTCCCCAAGGAACTGGGACCCTAATTAAACCCTAAACCTTAAACCCTGAACCCTAAACCCTAAACCGCAAGGAACTGGCACTGGCTTTCTGGCTCTTATCTGCCGAGAGCTTGGCCAGTGCATCGAGGGGCTAGAGGTGCACGCGTGTGAGCAGAACGAGCTGCTCCTTGGGTCCGACAGGAACCCTGAAAGGGTTTGTGGGTTCATATTCTCCAAAGACGAACTTAGGGTTTAGTGTTTAGGGTTTGTAGTATAGGTTATATGTTTCTGGTTCAGATTATCCTAATGAGGATTAGAGTCGCGCAGGGTTTTACGATCCCCGATTTCAAGTTTCATTTTGTCCCCCCAAGGCTCTTCGCGCTGGCGAAAGAGGTCGTTGGGAGCCACGCTGCCGACGACCTGGGCTTGTCACAAACCCACACCGAAGCGCAAAAGGCGCAAGTGCCGCAAGTTCACCTGCACATGTGTGCCTTGGAGGGACCTAATTTTTAGGGTTTAGGGTTTAGGGTTTATTGAACCCTAAATTTTGGGGTCATACGCCCTATATATACGATAGTCCCTATCAGGGCATGTGAACCATAAACCCTGTGCAAAACCCTTTCGGGGTTCAGTTTACTGGGTGTGGGAGTACTATACCTTAATACTGTTTTTGGTTCTGGGTTCCTATTATAGCTACTTCTACCTAGAAAGTATATGTTTTTTTCCAGGGTCTACTCCAAAGTTGGGTGTACTTCCCAAGGTAACAACCCTACACCCTACACCCTACACCCTACACCCTACACCCTAAACCCTAAACCCTAAACCCTAAACCCTAAACCCTAAACCCTAAACCCTAAACCCTAAACCCTAAACCCTAAACCCTAAACCCTAAACCTTAAACCCTAAACCCTAAACCCTAAACCCTTCCCGAAGGTAACAGCAGCAACCTGGAGCTTGCGCCGGTTGACTTCATCGTATGTGAGGCCGTCGACGCAGGACTTCTTGGTGAGGGGTTCCTTCCGGGACCAAATGGAACCCGAATATTTGGGGTCATGATACCCTGTACAGTACCTTTATCATCTCCATTAGGGTTAATGAGCCCTAAACCCTAAACCCTAAACCCTAAACCCTTTTGGGGTTTCATTTGGTCCCCAAGGTTTTTGCAGACAGCCATGGATGCATGCAAGAGGCTGCTGAAGCCCGGGGGTAGGCTGGTACCCTGCAGTGCAACAGTCTATGGCCAGTTGGTGCATTGCCCCACACTTCGGCATGGTTTCGGTGCTACTTGGTAGCCCAGTGGTAACCCTTTACCCTTTTTTTCTGTTTATGGTTTCCCTTATAGAATAACCAACCCCAAAAAGGGTGCCCTTATTGTAATAGGGTTACTGGGCTACCAAGGCTACCTATGCCAGTAGCACCTTCAACCTCCAGGGCCTTGGCCACAAGCTGCGAGAGGGATTCCTGTGCCAGTTCCTGGAAGGCTTGGACCACGCCATCTTGAGCGAGCCTCAGGAGCTGCTAGAGATCTGCTTCGACGACCCAGCGAAAATGCGCCAGCAGCTGGATGCATGTGACGTTGCATCCGTCAGCATGCAAGCTGCCTGTGCTGGAACGGTCCATGCAGTGGTTGTTTGGTGGGATCTCCTCTTGGACAAGTCTGGCAGGCACCGCGTCTCTTCCCGACCTGGCCGAAGCGAGAACCATTGGCCGCAGGTGCTCTGGCCCGTCTGGGCGAACGCGCACAAGGAAGCCGAGCTTGGGAGGCACGTGTCAGCTGGCGACGTCCTCCAAGTCGATGCTAGGTCCTGCTAGGTTGGCTTTTGGATTATCTTCTCTTTTCCTTATTTAGGTTTATAAGGGGCCCTATATACAAGCCATGTTTCAAAGGGCTTAAAGGCCAACTCAGGATATCAAGATGTTCGAGGATCGGATTGAGTGCCGGCCCCGCAGCCCACAGCTGCAGCTTCAGGCGGTGCAAGACTCAGACTCGTGCGAGCTCCCGGCTTCGAACCTCTCTGCGGAAGACCTGCGATGGCTCAATGACAGGAGTTTCTGGGATGGAGTGCAGAAGCAATCTGCCAGTCTCCTGCCTGAGCGCTGCAGAGAGCCTTGTATCCTGGATATGTCTTCGCTGGTGTTGCCTGCTGCCACTTGCTTCTCCAACAGATGAACTTTAAACTTTTTGGGCTTCCTTGCTTATAGTAGGAATCAATAAATAAAGTTTAACCTTTTTTTCCCCTTGGTTGTTGGAGAAGTAAGGCCTTGACGGTTGTCACACGAAGCCTTCCAGAAGGCATCCGGCCCAAGGCGTACGTTAGCAGCTGCCTCGCAGCGGCCGAGGCTGAGGCTTTCCTCGCAGTCAACGGACTCCGAAGCAAAGGGCGTTTTTGCCAATGCTCCTCAGCAAACAATCTGGTCGAGCTGCTCGGGAATTCTGCTCTTGTTGGAGCTGGTGATTTGATTCTGGTTATTTCGGATGCCGTGCGGCGTTCTGGCGAGTTGCGGCCCGATGTCCTCGCGCAGGTTGAGGCAGCCCATCGGCACTGTACCGCCGCTGGCAAAGAGCTCTCAGTTCTGCCAAATTCTCTGAGTCTGTCGCTCGCCTTGGTAGAGAGCATGCCGCTTTCAAGAAGCAGCCGCGTCCAGCAGGGATCCACCGATGACTGGCATGTCGACGTGCGGAGTCTGAACGCGCTTTCCCCAACCACATTCGAAGCATTCTCAGAGGCACGGCTGGATGCGAAGCCGCTGACTTGTGCACACCAAATCATACGGCTTCAGCTGTCCAGCCCTTCATTTCCATCTCAAATGAAAGATCTGGCAGCCGGCAAGAAATTCAGGCTAGGCCCCGTGCTTGTGGATGGCACTATCCACGGCGTGCTTTGCAACTGGTCGTGCCCGCACCCGGAGTCGTGCCCGAACCAGCACCTTCCAGACAAAGGGGATGAACTCCTCGAAGTTGGCCACTTAGTAGCTGAATGAGAGCACTTTGCACGTTTTGGGATACTAGAATCCCCTATCATAGAACTGAAAGTGTGTCTTTTGGGGGGCTTATGAACTCAGCAACTAAGGCAAAGCAGGTACTGTGTGGCCGGAGACGTTGCCCAGGCACATTAAGAAAGGCGACCATGTCGTCGTCGAGATTCGCACATTCGCGGCTCATGGAATCCTCGTGACGCCACTGGAAGTTCAGCGAGGTGACAGGGAAAGGAGGCAACCGCAGCAGTGATTGGATCTGTGCTCAGGGGCTCCAATACCTCTTAATTAACGACTGTTCCTTAAAGTACAACAGGGTTCCTTGTAGGGTTCAAGGAATATTCCTTAATTACGGGGTGTTGGGGTCTCTGGGTGCCATCCTCACCAGTGCGTGCAAAACATTGTCGCGGTCTTGCTGGTGATGCGAAGCTATCATATAGGGGTCGGAATAATTACTAATAGTACTCCCTTGTGGTCCTTTATGAATATACGATAGTAACCCCCAAAACCTATTCTAATTATTAAAGCCCCAATAGCCGCCCACCTTAACACACACTCTCGTACTTCGAATGCAATGGGCGGTTTGTGGTTTATATCTAATAGGGTTCATGGTATTAACATGTCAGGTGCAGAATATTTAGTGTGTTATATCCAGCTTACGGTCAGGTTCGTGACCTTTGGACCCAGATGAACCCTAAAATTGGGGTCATATACCCTATGCTACTACACCCCCTATTAGGGTAATATAAACACCCCTCCAGATTCATATAATATGGGGCCCCAACCCGAAGCCCTTTTCGGGTTCATTTGGTTCCCAACTCCAGTCCAAACTTGGAGGTTCATAGCTACCAACAAGTAGGGTCGGCTATATGTACCCTAAGTGAGGCGATAACTATAGTTGCCCTACGTATAACCCTACTTAGTATAAGTACCCGTGAACCTCCAGAGGTTTAGGGTCTAGGGTTTAGGGTTTCGGGTTTAGGGTTTAGGGTTTCGGGTTTAGAGTTTAGGCTTTATAGGGATTTGGCTTTAGGGTGACAGCCCACTGTCAGGTTCAGCCTCCCCCGGCTCCAGCGCCAGCGCCGCCTCCGGGAGCTTTCTCGGGCGTGGCAACAGTAGCTCGGCTTGGGTTTAGGGTTTAGGGTTTAGGGTTTAGGGTTTAGGGTTTGCTGTGATAGGGTGTAGATTCTGTGAAGGTTAGGTTTCGGACCAAGCTCGAATGCTTCGTGATCGAAAGCTTCGTGAGGTGCGAAGAGCACCTTTGGCCCGATTGCGGAGGGCCATCTAACACTTTTCTCCCACCCCACGCCGTCCAAGGCGGCAAAGCCGCCCAAACCTGTTCCTTTTAGGGTTTAGGCCTAAATTGGGACAATAGTCCACTTCTAAAAACTTATTCAGTTTCAATTCAGGGGTCGGAGGGAAGGTTGCAGGAAGTGCCAGGTCTCCAGGCACCTTACCTGCTAGGGGGGCTAGGGCCAGGACCCGGCCTGAGGCCCCCTCATCCCTGAGCACGCTGCGGCGAGGGGTCCGGGTCCTCCTGACCTCCAGGTCAGGGAGGGGGGGGGGTTTAGGGTATTTACTTTATTATAAGGGAGCAGTACTGGTCCCGAGGAGAGTGTGTTCCGGTACCGGGCCCATCGTGGGTGCTACCGACCGCCATGCTGTGGGAGGCGGGCGAGCGACCTCGGCCCGCTTGCGCCATCGAGGTCGGAGGGCTGAAGCCGCCCCCCAACGTAGGGGGGCGGCCTAGGCCCTGAGTTTAGGGTGTTTGCCGGCAGCCTCCAAGTCCGTTGCCCAAAGGGGTTTAGGGGTTAGAGTTTGGGGTTTTAAGGTTTAGGGTTTTTGCATTTTAGGGTTGTCCCTTGTGAAAAGAATTCTAGGGTTTAGGGTTTATGGTTTGGGGCTTCAGGGTTTAGGCGTTTATAGGGTTCTACGCAACCAATTCTAACAGCTCGAGCTGCCATTCTCAGTCTGGGGTGCCGCCGACGCCCACACCAGCACCAGGCCAAACCCGAGTTGTTTATTCAGGTTTAGGGTTTGGGGTTCAGGGTTCAGGGTTCAGGGTTTAGCGGGGTGGTTCAAGAACCCGAAGCGAACAAGAGCCAACTTCATGGCATGGATATCAGCTCCCGGCTCAAGGGCACCCAACTTGAGGGGTTGGCATGTACCCACAGAGCCCAATATTGCATAATTAAGGAATATACCTTCAATCATACTCAGGATCCCTATATGAGTTAAGGAGTATTCCTGAATTAAGCAATATTGGGTTCTTTGGGTAGTACCTTGTAGCTCGCAGTGTTGCATCGCTCAGCATTGCGGCTGAAGTTGAAAGAGGGTTTTGGGCTGATAGGGTTTAGGGTTTAGGGTTTAGGGTTTAGGGTTTAGGGTTTAGGGTTTAGGGTTTAGGGTTTAGGGTTTAGGGTTTAGGGTTTAGGGTTGGGTGTGCCCCCCCATGAACTACAGTCCTGAATAAGAATTGGAGCATACTACCTATTAGCATCCCTATCAAGGAGTGTTAGGGTTTAGGGTTGAGGGTTTAGGGTGGTAGTATAAGGGGGGGAACATCCCACGGTATGTTGTGAACTGGACCCGCACCAGCAGTCGAACCTTGAACCTTAATGCGTCACGTCCTGTCCGACCCAAGTTGAAGCCTTGCCTCCCGCCGTGCGGGTGTGAGAGTCGAAGCCCTAAACCGTATAACCCTATAAACCTATACACCCCCAAACCCCCAAACCCTAAACTCTAAACCCTAAATCCTAAGAAAGTAATACCCCGAACCCTAAGCCGAGGAGTGTGGTGTGAGGCTGCTAGGCAGGTAGCAAAGAAAATTCCCGGAAGTGAGCTGCCAAGAGGCCAAAGACACATTGGAGAAGAGGAAACTAGGTTGGGATGTGTTCCCTCTTATACTCGCAGCCCTTAATAGGGTTTTCAAGAGGGGGGGGGGGGTACTATATTCCCTATAGCCCTCTATCCTGAGAGGTTCATGGGTGCGTAGAAGTAGAGTCTGAAGTACCCTAAACAGAGTCATAGGTATACTTCCCATACTTATAACCCTACCCATGAACCTCCAAGTAGCCCTAAGCCCTAAGCCCTAAACCCCAAGTAGGTGCGGTGGCCAGCGCAGCCCTGACTTTGGCAGCGCTGGAGGCCCTTCCTTAAGCAGGGGTTTATTTAGGGTTTAGTTTTTTGGGGTTTAGGGTTTATAGGGCTTCGGGCTTAGGGCTTCCGCTGCGAGCCCAGCTGCAAAATAGCGTTTAGGCTTGAACCAGCGGCAACCTCGAACCACACACCTACACCTGAAGAGACTTCCCGAAAACTGGCAACTTCGCAGTGCTGATTGTTCTAAACGTGCCTATCATTTTACAGTGCATTTTTTTCAGAGTACTATCGGGGACGGATTACTTACTAGTAGTATTCCCCCACTATAAGTATACTATACTACTCCCCAAAACCCATTCTGATTTTTTCGGCCCCTAACGTATTTTTGCGCAGCCGGTCACTTTAAGGAATAGCTCAGCTCTGCCTTCGAACGTCATCTTCCCAGCTTGTTAACCCTGCGGCCAAGCCTGGGGCCCCAAAATCCTAAACCCTAGCCCTCAACCCTAAGCCCTAGGCCGAAGGCCTAAGGCCTAAGCCCTGCCATAAACCCTACAGCCCCGAACCCGGCGTTACCATTGACCTACCCTAAACCCTTGTACTGACAACCCTGCCAAGCCTCTTATACGTCAGCCCCGGCATGCTCCCCGACTTGGAGGTTCAGGGCACCGATAACCCCAGTTATAATTGTACTTACAATCCCCTAGGTAGGTTACAAGTAGACTTCTAATTGGGGTTATATGTACCCATGAACCTCCAAGTACACCATTAAAAAACAACGCTAGATGCCCTGAATCCGGTTGTGATGCCCTAAGCCCCATGAAGCTCTCCATGTGAGACCTAGAGAATCTAGAATCCCTAAAGGCCCTAAAGCAAAAGGGCATCATTTGGCACCCAGAGAACCTTGCGAAGCCTAAAACAAACAGGGTACCACCTCGGCACCTTGAAAACCCTGAAAACCCCTAAAACCAACAGGGCACCACCTCGGTACACCACCTCGGTGGAACCTCCTGAAACCCCGAAAACCAACAGGGCACCGCCTCAGTACCTAGAACCCTGCTTGGAGGTTCAAGTAGGGTTATAAGTACCCAAAGTAAGGTTATCACCATAGTTTGCCCTACTTATAACCCTACGTTTACGTACCCTTATGAACCTCGAAGTGGAACCCCTAAACCCTAAACCCTAAACCCTAAACCCTAAACCCTAAACCCCTCAATGAACAGGGGATCACCTCGGTGGATCCGGTCAAGTCCGAGGTCGCAACGGGAGGGGCTGTGACGGTTTAGGGTTTAGGGTTTCGGGTTTGGGGTGTAGGGTTTAGGGTGTTTAGGGTTTAGGGTTTATCGGGCTTTGAAGGACGGTCTTACGAGGGCTGCCAGTGGCCCAGAGGGTTTTGGGGGTTTAGGCTTTAGGGTTTAGGGTATTTCGGGTACTTAGGGTATGTAGGGTCCTGTAGGATATCTAGGGTATTTAGGCTCAGGGTTTATGTTGTTTTTCCTGGCAGTCGTTCGCGGTCAAGTTGCAGGAAAGGGTTTCGGGTTTAGGGTATGGTATTTGGGGACTGGGGCTTTGGTTAAAGAAAGGGTCTTGGAGCAGGAGATGTGAGAAGCTGAGAGGAACAACCCGAACCTTAAACCCTAAACCACGTGGGCTTAGGGTGTAGGGTGTAGGGTTTAGGGTTTAGGGTTTAGGGACCCGAAGCCCTATAAACCATGCGTGCATTTCTTGATGCCCTGCTGCTGCCATGCTCCAATTTACTCGCAGCTAACGCGTTTTCGTGTAATTGGGCCCCCTCAGGCCACGAAAGCCTTGGAAGAAGAGGCTGAGAAGAAGCTGGGTTCTGAGTGTATCTCTTGACCTCATGTGGGGGTCTCCGAACATCGGGGACCCCCAAAGTAGACCCCCAAATAAAGCAGGACTCTCTCATAAAAAAGCGGGACCCAAAAAAGGTACCCCCCATTTCGGAAACCACCATGTCTTGGAACTTGCAGGTATGTCAGGGCTGACTACCGTCCCTCTATAGGAGGTAAAAACGTGCAGTCTTTTGGTGGTACGTCAGCCCTAAACCCTAAACCCTAAACCCTAAACCCTAAACCCTAAACCCTAAACCCTAAACCCTAAACCCGCAAAAGAGGGGAGGGCTGAAGACCTACCAGGCTGTGGGCTTAGGGCCACTTATAGGGTTCATGGAGGATGCCGTAGCGCAGCCCCACATGGGCCTAAAGCTGTCCTGGCCCTGTAGACCCTAAACCCTCGACCCTGGTTGGGTTTAGGGTTTAGGGTTTAGGGTTTAGGGTTTAGGGTTTAGGGTTTAGGGTTTAGGGTTTAGGGTTTAGGGTTTAGGGTTCCGGAAGCCCCTGACTTGCATGCATCTATCGTCCCGAACATGTGTACCCTGCAGTGTGGCTGGTCTGCTGGCAGGTGGCACGAAAAAAAGCCCTAAACCCCCTAAACCCTAAACCCTAAACCCTAAACCCTAAACCCTAAACCCTAAACCCTAAACCCTAAACCCTAAACCCTAAACCCTAAACCCTAAACCCTAAACCCTAAACCCTAAACCCTAAACCCTAAACCCTAAACCCTACCCCTAAACCCTAAACCCTAAACCCTGAACCCTAAACCCTAAACCCTAAACAAGAACAGATATTTGGCGACTCCCCGCAAGCCCCCGAGGCGGAAGGAGGAACTGAAAGCCGCGCGCGAGAAGCGAAACAAGGATGGCAGCCTTTTCGGGCTCTGGGGCAATTTGGGGTTAAGGTTATGTGGGTTGGTGTTCTCTTTAAGTAGGGTTTCTGTTTTAAAGGGGTATAAACATATATATATATATATATATATTCGGGATTCTTATACGAGGTTAAGGGTTGAAGTCGTTTGGGCTGTCATGGAGCTTGCTTGGCCGGGCTTTGTGAAATGGGGGCTTACGATAAGAAGGGACCCCTAACAAAGTCCCCCCAAATAGTAGGATTCCCTTCTAAGAAGAAACCCAATACGGTACCCCCTAATTTCGGAATCCCTCACATAGGTCCGGCCAATGGCCGGAGCTCCTGTGGATGCTGCTCGCTCGCTCGCAGCACCATCCTTGCACAAATGTGGGCCAGTGCCCGACCACAGACCCGCACATATCTACACAACCCCACGCAAATCCGCCCACACAGAGACACAGAGACACACAGAGACACACAGAGACACACAGAGACACACAGAGACACACAGAGACACACACACACACACGCACAGAAACACACCGAGAAACACACCGAGAAACACACAGAGAAACACACAGAAAAACACACAGGCACATAGACACAGAGAGGAAGAGAGAGATATGGGGTTGGAGCTTGTGACCTTGGCTGGCTTTAGGCTTTTGGGCTTCAGGGTTGGGCTTTGTTTGCCTCCAAATTCCAAGGGATTCTGTTGGCACCCATTGCCAATGAATAGTTGCAGGAAGTGAATGCAGAGTACAGGCCAAAGGAAGGAGACTACAGCAAACAGCACCAGCTGCAACAACTAAAGTGCTCAAAGCCCTAAACCAAACCCGAAACCCTAAACCTTGAATCCTAAACCCTGAACGCTAGATCCACCCCCTAGGGTTAGGCTTGCGCGCCCGAAAAAACCCACCCTGCTTGCTACCAGTGCGTGCGAAGGGCCAGAGCATCCATGCCCGCACGATGAGTACGTCCATGTTGCCAGTGCGTGTGAATGGCCAGAGCATCCATGCCCGCACGATGAGTCCGGTGGTTAGGTTTTAGGGTCTAGGGTCTCCCTGCAGGAGCTCAAACGGGGCCCTGGTGTCAGGGCCTCGGGTGCTGGGTTTTGAATCAATTCAAACCGATGTCCTCTGCGGGCGCACCAAAAGCTGGGCGGGAGTGCTCAGATCTTCCCAAGCCCCACAATTCAGGAACATTCCCCCAATTCATACTCAGATCAGTATTAAGAATTAGGGTCTCTTCCTTACTTGAGGGGTTTTGCACGATCTGGGTCTTCCGCGCACAGGAGAATTGTACGAAGCTGCGGTCTGCATGTTGCTTGTGGGACTTGAAGAACGGGAACCTTGTCGCTTTTCCTCAGCCCCTGTCAGCACAGCTCAACCCTGTAAATTGGGTTTAGGGTTTCAGGGTTTAGGGTGTAGGGTTTAGGGCCTAACGACTGGGTATCCCATCCCCCCTCATCATCAAATTCAAAGAAGATCATCGTCGCGACTGGCCACCAGTGAGGTTGCTGCTCTCGTGCAGGGTGCACTTGCCCCAGCTCTGGTGCCCGTCTGCTTAGTTCTTGGTCTGCGCATTCGCCTTCGGCATGCGAAGTAGAGATTGTGAAACATGGGTCCCAGTACTGCAACCGTTTAGGGGAGGCTTTGGGTTGGATCCCAGTATATGTATATATATATGTATATATATATATAATATAGATTCCCATGAATATTTCCAGCGTTTAAAGGCATAGTCCCGCTTGAGTAGGCCACTCCGGGTGCAGCAGACCTCTCCAAGGTCTGGTCGGCACTTGGTTTTGGGGGTCAAGGGTTTAGGGTTTAGGGTTCAGGCAAAAGGGTTCGGGGTTTAGGGCTTAGGGAGTAGGGAAATGCTCCCAGACCTTGGCGCCTCCCACAGCCCTGAACCCAGAACGTGTATGAACTCGTGGCAAACCCAACCCGCAGAAATCACTCTGTGGGTCTGAAACCCTAAAGCCCCTATACCCTACCCCTAAACCCCAAACCGTAAACCCTAAACCCCAAACCCTAAACCCTAAACACTAAACCCTAAACCCTAAACCCTTTGCAAGATCGGACGCTGGGCTTTCCTAGGCCATCAAGAGAGCACTGGAGGCTCCTTCGGTCAGGGCCCCAACTTCGTTTTGCCTTTGGGGTTTAGGGTTTAGGGTTTAGGGTTAGGGGTTTAGGGTTTAGGGTTTAGGGCTACTGGCTGGGTTTAGGGACATGCAAAAGCCTGACGTTAAAGACATAGGTTTTAGGGTTTGATGCAGAACTTCGCGGTTTCGGAATGTTTTGGGTAAGAGCTTCCTTTGTGGAGTTGACGACCTGCCGCAAAAGGAAGAAGCAAAGTTGAGACTTTCTAAACCCTAAACCCTAAACCCTAAACCCTAAACCCTATTAAGTGAGCCACGTGCAAAGATCCATCGTTGTATGGATGCTAACAAGCCAAAGGTGGTTTTCACATTTTCTGTAGCTCCAGAAGGCCCCTGGCACACTTCCACCGCACCACACCAACTCGAGAAAGCACATCGCATCAACCAGGGCAAGGTTTAGGGTTTAGGGTTTAGGGTTTAGGGTTTAGGGTTTAGGGTTTAGGGTTTAGGGTTTAGGGTTTAGGGTTTAGGGTTTAGGGTTTAGGGTTTAGGGTTTAGGGTTTAGGGTTAGGGTTTTTTGGGGCTTCGATCATCCTCTTCGGCCCTGGATGTGCAACACGTGCCACAGAAAACTTCAAGAAACGCACATGAATGAAAGGTTCGAGACCCAACTCCGTCTACTGTAAGAGTTTCGAGGAACCTTGTAGGCCCTATAGGGTTAAGGGTTTAAGGGTTTTAGGGTTTAAGGGTTTAAGGGTTTAAGGGTCTAAGGGTCGTCTAAGGGTTTGAGGGTCTAAGGGTTTAAGGGTCTAAGGGCTTTAAGGGTTTAAGGGTTTAAGAGTTTAAGGGTTTAAGGGTTTAAGGGTTTAAGGGTTTAAGGGTTTAAGGGTTTAAGGGTTTAAGGGTTTAAGGGCTTAGGGTTTAGGGCTTAGGGGTTAGGGTTTAGGGTTTAGGGTTTAGGGCTTAGGGTTTTTTTGGGTTTAGGGGAACCCGATCCATACCCAGATGGGCAAGAAAGACGAGCTGGTGGAGAAAGCGCAGCGCCAACGCGAAGAAGCTGAGGCTGCTGCCAAGAAGGCACGGTTTAGGGTTTAGGGTTTGGGGTTTGGGGTTTAGGGTTTAAGGTTTAGGGTTTAGGGCACCCTGAACCCCAAACCCCTAAACCCTACTTGGAGGTTCACGGGCAGTTAGAAGTAGGGTTATACGCATCCTAAATAGGGCTATAAGTATAGTTGCCATACTTGTAACCCCACTCATAAATACGCATGAACCTCCAAGTACTGGGGTTATACGGCTTAGGGTCTGGGATAGGGTTGGATAAACCCGATATTTGGGGAGGGTCTGCCCATCTAATATAAGGGGCTTTAGGGGCCTGACCCTTTCGGGTTCCGTGTGGTTTCAGATATCGTTCCAGTTCTTTTTCATTTAGGGCTTAAGTGCCCTAAACCCTAAACCCTAAACCCTAAACCCTAAAGGGTGAAGCGATTCTATGGCTTTATGAAAGGGCTTTGGGGTTCAGGCTTGCAAGCTCCAAGGAGTCATCGCATTTTTGTAGTGGAGCCTGGGGATGGAAACCCTAAACCCTAAACCCTAAACCCTAAACCCTAAACCCTAAACCCTAAACCCTAAACCCTAAACCCTAAACCCTAAACCCTAAACCCTAAACCCTTTCAGTCCCTGCAATGTGGCCTGAGTGTCAGCTAGGCGGGTGGCCCAAGAAAACCTTTGAGCGTAACCGTGGTGGCCGGAAGTCGCTTGAAGCTGGTGTTGCCTACATGCTTCAGAGGAGTTAGGCAATTAGGTACCCGAAAGAACCGCCCTAAGCCCTAAGCCCAAGTTGGTTTCGGCCTTGGGGTTCTGAAGAGGGATTCGGTTTCCGACCTACACCCAGGTCTGGAAGGGGCCTTGAAGAGCCGCCCACAACCTCAAAGAATCTGAGCCCTTCAAAAATTCCGATTGCAAAGGAGCTGGAAAGGCGGGAGCAGGAGAAGGAGTGTCTCGGCTGCTAAGAGACGGGATTGCCGAAAAGCCCTGCCGACCGCCGGGGGTGTAAGGTTCTTAAGCTACGACCCTCCTTGTGTCTCGGCTTTAAACTGCAGCATAGTGCAAGAAGCCCCATTGTTAGAGGGCTTAGGTAAGCTGGCCCATGGATGGACTTGAGTAGGGAGACCTGAACGCCAAACCCCACAAATCTCCCCAAAGCCCCAAAAGGCCCAAGGCCCGACCAAGGCGTAAGCCCAAGGCCCCCCAAGGCCAAAGACCAAGGCCTCAGGCCCAAGGCCCCGAGGCCCCAAGGCCCCAAGGCCCCCAAGGCCTAAATCCCAAGGCCCCAAGGCCCCAAAACCCCAAGCCCCCAAGGCCCAATGCCCCCAAGAGCCCCAAGGCCCTAAACAACCCTAAACCCAAGACCCAAGGCCCTAAACCCTAGACCCAAGACCCCCAAGGCCCTAAACCCTAAACCCAAGACCCCCAAGGCACTAAACCCTAAACCCAAAACCCAAGACCCCAACTCCATCTAAGTGTCGAAGATTCAACCGAGGCAGGAGCGTCAGGAAGCCGAGCGCCAAAAGCGGGAAGAGCAGAAGAAGGTTGCAACCCCGATCTTCCCCAAAAAAAACCCTTCATTAAGGAGTGTACCCTAAGCCATACTGAGGATCATGACTATGAAGTAGGGTATATTCCTTAATTAAGGGGGTTTTGGAAGATCTGGGTGCCAATGGTCGGGTTTTGTGGTGACTTGTTGGGTGCTTTTTGAATACCCTGAACCCTAAACCCTAAACCCTTCATGTCAGCTATGCGGGAGCGGTCGAAGCCCTATAGACTTCCTGGACCATAACCTTCAAACCCTAAGTTCTTTTTTTTGGGAAGGGGGGGGGGGGGGGGGGGGGCTGCTGAGCGCCCAGATCGATCACGCAAAGCTTGGGGCAAATATGTGCCACTCGGGAAAGGGCCGGCTTTCTCCCCACTACTCCTTGAGGCTCCCTAAGCTTCCCTAAGGCTCCGTAGGTACCAACCCCCCATGAACCCCCCTGCCTTAAGAACCCTATAAGGTTTCTGCGGCTTCAGCGTCAGTGGCGGCCTTTTCGTGCCGGGTTTTTTTTTCCGTTTGCGGGTCAAGATGGAGAATCATTTTTGTTGATCCGGTTTGTAGTAACCATGAGCACAAACACACGCACAAAAGGAAGCACCCCTGAAATTTGGCATCCGGAGAGAATTTTGCCAACTGATTTGTTGCTCATGCTTTGTGATATTGTTGTGGTCATGATTTGCAGATTGTGCACCGACATTGTGCTAGTTGTTGCGTTTTTTTGGTTGTCGTGGTCCGCAGTTTGTTCTCAGATTGTGTACTGTTGCTGGTGCTGTTTTGGGTGGTCGTGTTTTGCAGTTTGTGCTTGGAATCTTGTTAACAGTGACGTGCCTGGCTGTATGGCACTGTGTGCTTCAAGGTCTTTTTGAAATCTTAAGATGCCTTTGGAGTGCTTCTGGATTCTGTTTAGTGCCGACCATTTTTGTGGTTGTGGTTTGTAAATCGTGCTCAAGTGATGTACCGACATAGTCAATGCGTCTGGGCGATGTCGCCGCGTGCACAACCATTGCGGGATTCCTGCAGGGGCTTGGACTTCTTCATGTTTCTATGCTTTGGAGTGCAGGAACCCTAAACCCTAAACCCTAAACAGCATATTCAGACATTCCCCTGCAGAGTGTCCGAGAGGTCAGATAAGCGGGTGGCAAAAAAAAACCCTAAACCCTACCAGCTAGATGACAGACCTTCGAACCGAATCTTTGCCTGCTTTGTACGAGTGTGAGAGCTGAAGCCCAAGACCCTAAACCCTAAACCCGCACACGATTTTTTATAAGCCGGGTGAGTCCTTGGCAGGTTGAGGAGGAGAACAGACGAAAGCTGGAGGAGCTCCAGGAACTGCAGGGAGTTAGGGTTTAGGGTTAAGGGTTAAGGGTTTAGGGTTTGGTTTTTAGGGTTTGGGGTTTAGGGTTTGGGGGTTTATAAGGTTTAGTGCAGAGGATTTAGGAGACCAAGTAGTTATTCTAAAGGGTTTCCGGGTTTCCGGTATGGTTCGCCGGAGAAATTTCTAATAATTTTCCCTTATGGTCCCTTTATAATTCTACCAGAATCACCCCCCAAAGCCCTATTCCCTAAACCCCAAACCCAAAAGTAGCGTCCAGGGTTTTGCTGCTTTGCCGGTCCTCATGTTGGGGGAGCTTCAGGCCGAGGTGCAGCAATCCCCTGCTTATAAAGGTTTCTGCCCTGCCCCCCTCCCCCGCCCTGCCCCCCTCCCCCGCCCCCCCGCCCTCCCGCCCTCTCACATGAAACTATGGAGTCGGGGACGTTTTAATGTAAGTGCCCACAGGAGCCGACTGGCTTCTCTGTCTGTGGTCAACCCCCAACTGCCCCCCAAGCAGAAAAAAAGTTGGTTTTTGTTTCACTAACCTTCTAGGAAAGATCGGTTGCCGCAGGTCTATCCCGGTGTCGTGTTGTAGCATGAGGGTCGCAACGTTGAGTCTTTTGAGTCTATCGGTATCTAAGTGATGAGGACTCATGACTGCGTTTGTGCAGATGCCTGTGGGCCATCTCACTGCGGTTGCAGTATTGGGCAGAACCCTGAGTCTTAATTGGAGCCTGGCCTATTGCTGCTGCTGCTGCCTGAGCCCTGAACCCGAAGCGCCAAAGGCTCCAGGTGCAAACTCTCTGCATGCTGAAGTAATCTGGCTAATGCAGCTTCGATTCTTCAAGAGTATATGATCTCCCTCTCTCTCTCTCTCCCCCACTCTCTCTCTCTCTCTATTCCATTTTCCTGATCAGCCGAGAAGTGCTCAAGTTGTTGTGAGTGGCAGGCGAAGGAAAGAGAGCGAGTGCAGCGGGAAGCTGCCGAGAGGCGGAGTTCTGCCATCCGCCATAAAACGGATTTTTCAGATCTTCCCTGAATTAAGGAACCCCAATTCACGATGATGATCCTCAGTATAAATTAGGGTACATTCCTTACATAAGGGGTTTTTGGAACACTAGGGGAACCCTTCTTAGAGGTTCATGGGTAGTTATAGGTAGGGTTACAAGTACCCTAAATAGGGTTAGAAGTATAGTTACCCTACTTGTAACCCTGCTTACCCAAAGAGCCCAATATTCCTTAATTAAGGAATATTCCTTAAATCATCTAGGGATCCTTATTATGAATTAACGTATATTCCTTAATTAAGGGATATTGGGCTCTTTGGGTATAACTGCCTGTGAGCCTCCAAGTACACCCCAGTCTTCGGGACCCAGCCCTCCTGGCGCCCAAGAATTCATATGCCGGAAAGGTGAAATGTCGGAAATTCGGGTCCGAAACATGTTTGTAGGGCAGAACGTCTAAACCCCACAAACCCTATAAACTTAAATCACAAACCCTATACAAACCCTAACCGAAAAAAAATCCTACTTTCAACTCTGGGCCCAAGCCCGTCGCTTTGTGAATCCCATCAGTGCAGGCGCAGACAGGCCGAGAAGGCAGAGGAGGCGGGGTTGGGGCGTTAGGGTTTGGGGTTCAAAAAGGTGTACAGTTATGTGGGGTTCCGCAAAATGGTGGAGCCTTTCTTGGGGGCCTTTCAGGAAGGGTTGCACCGACTTTGAGAGCCCACTTCTAGCCATGCACAGGGTGCCTGGTTCTGAGGGATAACCCCTAAACCCTAAACCCTAACATGCCAGGGAGGCCTAAGTCGAACATTGGTTGCTCGTAGTTTTGTACTCCTTTCCGGCAACTTGGACTTAAGCCTGAGAAATCTGCAGAAGTCAACTCAAAACGTTTTTTTGCATACAGCAAGGCTTGATCTTTATGGGGTGAAGTGAGGTGTTAGAGCTTTCCCCTTAGCCCAAAACTCTTGGAACAACCCTATATGGGCATTTCCCAAAATAGGGGTCCCCCTTTATACCCCAAATAGACTAGGATCCCCTTCAAGGGACTCCCAAGAAGGGTAATTACTCCTATTTCCGGAAACTCCCCCCCCCCCCCCGCACCTCCCCATTATGTCACCAAACGCCGCAGGAGATGAAGAAGAAGGAGGCCGAAACGCGCGACCAGCGTGTGAAGGCACCTGCAGTTAGGTGGGAACCAGTCGGGGGTGTCTTGTCCAGAGTCGTACATACGATATAGAATAGAGTCGAGTATTATGTCCAATGTGTATCGATCTCTATATATATATATGTGTGTGTGTATACATATACTATGAGAGTCTAGTATGTATGTATGTACGTATGTATGTATGTATATATATATATACACCATTGCATATAAAGTGTATATACACAAGCTTGCACAATGGCCCCTGCAGCCAGCATCCTCTGGGGCAGCAAAAAAACATCGCTGCGCCGCCCATGCGCATGTCACTTTTCCAAAGCATGCATGGAGGTTCATGGGTAGGGGTTTAGGGTTTAGGGTTTAGGGTTTAGGGTTGAGGAGTATAGGGTTTAGGGTTACTTGGAGGTTCATGGGTAGTTATTGGAAGTATGGCAACTGTGCTTCTAACCCTATTTCGGGTACTTTTATCCCTACTTTTCACTACCCATGAACCTCCGAGTGGTCCCTTTGGGTAACCTGATTCAGGGGCCGCATTGCAGCAACGGCCCAGAACCGGAGTCCACATTATTAAACTAGGACCGGGAGTAGGCCCTTATTTCCTTTTTATTAGGGTTGGGGTTCCCTTATCCCCTTAAAGCCAAAAAGGGTACCCTTTTCATTTCTAGGTTACTCCCGGGTCTAGTTGCAGCAAAAATCTGGCCATGTCCTTTTTAAGATGGTGCTCAGACTGAGTCCACACTGCATGAAGATGAAGACACCAGTCAAAACCCATAAGCCACGGCTCGAGAACGTGCCACGTGTAGCTTCGCGCCAGACCCCGTGACAATGCAGAAGGCGGGGTTGTGTAGAGAAGAGTTGGAAGGTGCAGCTGTGTGTTAACTAAGTTTGGAGAAGACATTCATCGCTACAATGGATGAGAATGCGACATTATATAGCCCCCAGGTGGCCATCTTCATCCTGGTGGCCCTCAGCCATGGATTGAAGTATGACGTCATCAAGGACGCAACCGACAAACAGCCAGGTTGCAAAGGCCGGAAGAGCCAAAGCAAGACCACTTGCTCCGAAGTGGCGGATGATGAATGCGACGGGACCTGGATTGAGCACGCGGATAGCATATTGCAGTGCAAGCTTACCAAATCCGGGTGCTTGTCTACGGGTCCGCTGTGCAAGCCAGTTGTGGGTCCCGGCATCGGCAAGGATGGCATCGTGGCTTGGTACAGGAGTGAGGATGCCGAGCCAGTCTGGAAGAGCAAGGTGGGCAGTTTGGAGGCCAAGGCGACCCATGGTAGCGTGGAGGTGAAGGTCGAGAAAGGAAATGGGGCTGGCAAGCCCGTGAAATACATCTATGGCAACACGAATGCATACTATGACTTTGGCCCCATCCTGAAGAAGGGCTTCACGATTTGCTCTGTCAGCCGCTATGCCGGAGGCCACACGAACCGTGTTCTCCAAGCCAGCGGGATGAACTGGTTGCACGGCCATTGGTCCTCTCGAACCGGCGTGGCACACTACCAGACATGGAACACTCCACACTCGGGACCGAACAACAAGGAATGGCTGGTGTACTGCGGCACCTCTGGAAAGAGGGTCATGAATGGCGCGGGGAAGAACATAGCCAACAACAAGGCCAATGATCTCACAAGAGACTACAACTTGGTCGTCAACACACCAGGCGAACGCTCGGAGTTTGGCGTCATGGAAGTCATCGTGTGGAACAAGCATCTGAGCGAAGATGACATGGAGAAAGTCATCGAGTACCTGAACGCCAAGCTCGAGCACGGCTCTTCCTAGACTCCTTGACTATTAAATGGGAGCCGCGCGGGCAGTTAGGACCAAAACTCAAGAGAGAGAGAGAGAGAGCGAGAGAGAGAGAGAGAGAGAGAGTAGCTGTAGGAACTTTAGTAGCTTTGCCTGAAACACAAAGCGTGACAGCGCAGCAAGACGGCCAGCAAATTGCGCAGTAGGTATTGTTAAAGACAGCCTGCATGAAGTCCACACTGCATGAAGTCACCAGTCAAAACCCCATGAAGCCACGGCTCGAGCTCGTGCCACGCGTAGCTTCGCGATTGCGACGCCAGACCCCGTGACAATGCAGAAGGCGGGGTTCTGTAGAGAAGAGTAGCGGGTGTCGCTTGGAAGGTCCAGCTGTGTGTTGACTAAGTTGGAAAAGACATTCATCGCTACAATGGATGAGAGTGCGACATTTTTTAGCCCCCAGGTGGCCATCTTCGTCCTGGTGGCCCTCAGCCATGGATTGAAGTATGACGTCATCAAGGACGCAACCGACAAACAGCCAGGTTGCAAAGGCCGGAAGAGCCAAAGCAAGACGACTTGCTCCGAAGTGGCGGATGATGAATGCGACGGGACCTGGATTGAGCACGCGGATAGCATATTGCAGTGCAAGCTTACCAAATCCGGGTGCTTGTCTACGGGTCCGCTGTGCAAGCCAGTTGTGGGTCCCGGCATCGGCAAGGATGGCATCGTGGCTTGGTACAGGAGTGAGGATGCCGAGCCAGTCTGGAAGAGCAAGGTGGGCAGTTTGGAGGCCAAGGCGACCCATGGTAGCGTGGAGGTGAAGGTCGAGAAAGGAAATGGGGCTGGCAAGCCCGTGAAATACATCTATGGCAACACGAATGCATACTATGACTTTGGCCCCATCCTGAAGAAGGGCTTCACGATTTGCTCTGTCAGCCGCTATGCCGGAGGCCACACGAACCGTGTTCTCCAAGCCAGCGGGATGAACTGGTTGCACGGCCATTGGTCCTCTCGAACCGGCGTGGCACACTACCAGACATGGAACACTCCACACTCGGGACCGAACAACAAGGAATGGCTGGTGTACTGCGGCACCTCTGGAAAGAGGGTCATGAATGGCGCGGGGAAGAACATAGCCAACAACAAGGCCAATGATCTCACAAGAGACTACAACCTGGTGGTCAACACGCCTGGCGAACGCTCGGAGTTTGGCGTCATGGAAGTCATCGTGTGGAACAAGCATCTGAGCGAAGATGACATGGAGAAAGTCGTCGAGTACCTGAACGCCAAGCTCGAGCACGGCTCTTCCTAGACTCCTTGGCTCTGAGATGGCAAACGCGCTGCCCTGGCCGAAAACAACAAGTCCGGGTGCTGCAGTTGAAGACACTTTTTCCTCTGCTTGCTAACCTTTCCTTTAGGTGCAAACCATGGCATGATGAGCAGCACCAGCACTTCGAAGAAAGATGCCCTAAACCCTAAACCCTAAACCCTAAACCCTAAACTCGGGTTCAAGCAATCAGTGATCTCGCTCACCTTGCCAGGCCAGTGTAGAGGCCGCCAAGAAGCACCAGGTGCCTGACCAGATCTTGTCTTACACTGTTGGGTTAGGGTTTAGGGTTTAGGGTTTAGGGTTTAGGGTTTAGGGTTTAGGGTTTAGGGTTTAGGGTTTAGGGTTTAGGGTTTAGGGTTTAGGGTTTAGGGTTTAGGGTTAGTAGGGAATGAGGGAATGAGGTACCCTGTAGATTCCCTTGAAAATGATATATATATATATATAGGGGGATATAGGGTACCTCATTCCCTCATTCCCTACTAACCAACAGCAAGTTTTGGCAAAAGCTCATTCCTTTAAGATTCCCAGCAGGGCTTCAAGGCATTATCAGGTGTACGACCCCGAAGCGCTAAACCCTAGACCCTAAACCCTAAACCAGGGAAATGCAGAGTGTCCGAAAAGTCAGCTAGGCGGGTGGCAAAACAAAAGCCCTAAACCCGAAACCCTACCTCTCCCCCCCCCACTCGCTCAGGCTGACCGCGCGGCCGCTAAGGCCGCCAAGGAGGCCCGCCCTCGCTGCCGACATGGTCTTCATTCCCTGAACCTTAGGGTTCGGGTTTAGGGTTTTAGGGTTTAGGGTGTTGGGTGTTGGGTATAGGGTTTAGGGTTTAGGGTTTAGTCGGGCAATCTTTAACCCATCCGAAACCCCACATGGGTAGACCCCCGCCCCCTGTCTAAGGGTAGTTACATGGTCTCTTAGTATGGTCCCTTAAAAAGGGACCCCTTATACACCCCTAAACCCTAAACCCTAAACCCTAAACCCTAAACCCTAAACCCTAAACCCTAAACCCTAAACCCTAAACCCTAAACCCTTACATATCCTTCCCGTTTGAAGTGCCCAGACTTCAGAACCCTTAGAGCAAGGGACCACATTGAGGGACCCTATAACGACCCCAAGGCCTTGGGTGGTACCCAACCCTAAAACCCCAAAACCCTAAACCCTAAACCCCTAGACCCTAAACCGCTAAACCCTAAACCCCTAAACCCTTAATTGAGGAATATGCCCAATTTCTACTCAGGATAAAGTTATGAATTAGGGTGCATTCCTTAACTTAGGAGTTTTGGCAGATCTGGGTAGACCCTAGGCCCTAGACCCTAAACACTAACCCTAAAAACCCGTGGTAGAAAACCGTAAACCCTAAACCCTAAACCCTAAACCCTAAACCCTACCCCCTAGATTTTGCCTCCCAAACCAGGCTGAGTCCCTCTATGGAGACATGCCACAGAGGGGGCCCCAGCATTGCTTGGAGGTTCATGTGTAGTTATCTGCAGGGTTACGAGCATGGTCACCATACTTACAACGCTATTCTTAGGGAACCCTAAACCCTACTTCTAAGAAGCTATAAACCTCCAAGTGAGGCTTAGTTATGGGGGTTTGTAGGGTTTGCGTTTCTATGTGGTTTAGCGGTCAGGGGTGTCAGGTTTAGGGTTTCGGGTTTAGGGTTTCGGGTTTAGGGTCCAGGGTGCAGGTGTTGAAGGGTGTCGGACTTTTTGAGGGCGCCTGTGTTGAGAGGCGCGAGTTTGAGTTTCAGGAGCTCCCTACACCATCGAAGCCCTAAACCCTAAACCCTAGCCCTAAACCCTAAACCCCAAAAACCCTAAACCCCTTTCAGGTGGAGGTCGGATCCTTGTGATTGGGAATTTGTTTCGAGGTTATCACCAACACAGGGGCCATTCCTGCAAGCCCTTTTCAGAGGATGCCGGTTGGTAAATTAGGGTTTAGGGTTTAGGGTTTAGGGCTAGGGTTTAAGAGCGGGTGAAAGTGAAGTTCGGGTTTCCGAAACTAAGGGCACCCTTTTGGGGGGTGCCTTTAAGGGGATTCTCGTCTCGTTAGCGAAAGGAGCACCCCTGTTTTGGGGAAATTCCCATATACTCGTTGGCACGTACTTTCCGCTGATGCGCCCGGTACCCCGCCCCAGACCCACCCTTCCAACCAGTTTCCCGGGAATTATGGCCGAACGGCTGATCTCTTATGCCGGGTTTAGGGTTTAGGGTTTCGGGTTTAGGGTTTAGGGTTTAGGGTTTAGGGTTTAGGGTTTAGGGTTTAGGGTTTAGGGTTTAGGGTTTAGGGTTTAGGGTTCGGCCTCAACAAAGGGTTTCTGGTTTGGGCGCCCTGAACCCTCAACCCTAGAACCCTGAAGCGCCAGCATCTCCCGTATCAAACACATCACGTTAGGGTTTAGGGTTTAGGGGTTTAGGGTTAAAGGAGCATAGCCAAGCTCGTTGCAAAAGGGTTACAGGTATGAGCCCAGGAACATTGCCAAATTAACCCAAACTAGTCGAACCATAATTGCAAACCGACAAGGCCAGACGCAGACTCCGCAGCCGCCTCGGAGGTCCCTCTTCCTTTGTTGGGTTTAGGGTTTCGGGTTTAGGGCTTTGGGGTTTAGGGTTTTGGGTTTCGGGTTTAGCCCAAATGGGTTTCGGGTTGTGCGTGTGTGTATCTATATATGAGACTGTCAATACAATATGATAGTGCAATGTACATGTTAGCTTGCCAAAAGCACACAGAGCCTTCATCATGCGAATACCCTGGCCTAGAAACCGAAAGCCACTGGACAACAATAAGTGACCCCTACCGCATACAAGTAGCATCCTAGAAAACCTTCGTGAGGAAAATCCATAGTGATTGTGAACCTTTCACCCTACATACATGCTCTGGAAGGAAGGCAGGTTAATTACACCAAGCAGTACAAGGTTCTACTCCGTGCTGCGTTGATACGTTCGAAGGTATTCTCCAGCAAAACGCCCCAAATAGCAAAGCAGTTCAATGCAGCTTACCCACAAAACTTACGTGACCAGGGCTTGTGATTTGCCATGTTGGAAGATGGCTTATCCAAGACCCTGAACCCTAAACCCTAAACCCTAAACCCTAAACCCTAAACCCTAAACCAAGACTTTTGGAACCCGGGGCTGGCGACTTCGCTCTCCACTTCTATATCCCCTTGGAGTTTTTTTTGTTTCTATTCATATAAAAAGCCAAGAGGATATTGAGAAATAGTGTTTTTTTATTAAGGTTCTAAGGGGAGCATAGACCTACATGCATCACAAGCACCAAAGCTTGCGATGTGTCGCGTTGGAAGATATGGGGTTAAAGAAAAATTTCAGGACGCCTAAGACTCCCATACATAACGACCCCAATAAGATACCCCTAATTTCGTAAACCCCCATATCCCAAGTATCTTCCGACCCAGGCATGCGGTTTTTTCATTTTGAAGATCGCTTCCCACCAAATGTCTTCGGGACCACTCCTGCCCAATGTGTCAGCTGGGCGGGGTTCCGAAATAGGGGGTGCCCTTTGTCTACTATTTTTTGAAGCTTAAGAGCCGTTCTTTGGGGTTCTTTTCTCAAGGGAAACAGTATTACTTGAGGGTTCCGATGATACGGGCGGGAGCTCAAGGAACACGCTATGTTGACATTTTGAAGTTCAAGGGGTTTAGGGTTTAAGGAACGCCAGATTGACAGGACCACCTTGAAGTTAAAATCTGTCAATACAGTACTTGTTTCAAGACTGGATGCTTCAAAAGCATCTCGAAAGGGAGTTTTTGGTTCTTCATGTCTTTTTTTTGCGAATGGTTGCGGGAGTTAAAGGGTAAATTTGCTGGTACTTGTTTTAGCTCTTGTCTTGCAACTGGAGATCTTGTTTTCTAAACTGGGTGCTGCAACAACATAAGCATATACATATATATCTAGATATAGAATGTCTACATCTTTTTTTGTTTCGCAGGTGCGTATATTTTTGCATGTGTGTATTTGTATATACGGAGAGACGATGTGTACACATACGCTCTCTCACTCTCATTCAGCTCGTGCAGAAATGTGCAGAAGTTACGCGTGTTGCCCATCCGATGTATGCTTCAATTAAAAGGTCCAGTACCCAACATGCTCAGAAAGCTTTCCTGAGGCTGGCTCATAAACTAGGGTCCCTCATACTTTGGGATGATCCCCCTTCTATTAACGGTCCTTAAGAGGGATGAGAGCACCCCCCTATGAGAATCCCTATGAAGGACTGCTAGTATAAGGGCGAACATCCCAACCCTGAACCCTAAACCCTGAACCCTGAAACCCTAAACCCTAAACCCCACTGTGCACGCTGGGAGGCTGCCATGCGAGCGGCCGGGGAGAGAGGGCCGCAGGCAAGCATGTCGTTGCAATGCATTTCTCCTTCTAGCTCCGACGTTTACCGTAGCGGGGGGTTTTAGGGTTTAGGCATGTTTAGGGTTTAGGGTTACTGTCATATACCCTATATTGCTATAATCCCTATTTGGGTACATGAACCAAGCCTTGTAGGGTTCGTTCGGTCTCCGAGGTAGAGGGGGGGGGTCTTCGTTTTGCAGTTCGCACGTTCCTGGACACGCAGCGCCTTGACACGCGGAGATCTGCGGCTCGAGCACGGTTTCGTGACTGCGACGCCAGGCCCCGCGAGAATGCAGAAGGTGGGGTTGTGTTGGGACGAACGCGCTATAGAGCTCGTAGCGTATGGTGGCTGGAATGTCGATCTAGCTGTGCGTTCAATAAGTTAGGAGCCTCTTCACGGCTAACGGCTCCCGTATACGCCCCAGGTGGCCATCTTCGTCCTCGTGGCTCTCAGTCATGGACTGAAGTATGACGTCATCAAGGACGCAACCGACAAACAGCCAGGTTGCAAAGGCCGGAAGAGCAAAAGCAAGACGACTTGCTCCGAAGTGGCGGATGATGAATGCGACGGGACCTGGATTGAGCACGCGGATAGCATATTGCAGTGCAAGCTCACCAAATCCGGGTGCTTGTCTACGGGTCCGCTGTGCAAGCCAGTTGTGGGTCCCGGCATCGGCAAGGATGGCATCGTGGCTTGGTACAGGAGTGAGGATGCCGAGCCAGTCTGGAAGAGCAAGGTGGGCAGTTTGGAGGCCAAGGCGACCCATGGTAGCGTGGAGGTGAAGGTCGAGAAAGGAAATGGGGCTGGCAAGCCCGTGAAATACATCTATGGCAACACGAATGCGTACTATGACTTTGGAAAAATCCTGAAGAAGGGCTTCACGATTTGCTCTGTCAGCCGCTATGCCGGAGGCCACACGAACCGTGTTCTCCAAGCCAGCGGGATGAACTGGTTGCACGGCCATTGGTCCTCTCGAACCGGCGTGGCGCATTACCAGACATGGAACACTCCAAGCTCGGGACCGAACAACAAGGAATGGCTGGTGTACTGCGGCACGTCTGGAAAGAGGGTCATGAATGGCGCGGGGAAGAACATAGCCAACAACAAGGCCAATGATCTCACAAGAGACTACAACCTGGTGGTCAACACGCCAGGCGAACGCTCGGAGTTTGGCGTCATGGAAGTCATCGTGTGGAACAAGCATCTCAGCGAAGATGACATGAAGAAAGTCGTCGAGTACCTGAACGCCAAGCTCGAGCACGGCTCTTCCTAGACTCCTTGACTCTCAGATGGCAAGCGCGCTGCCTAGGTTGAAATCAACAAGTCCGAGAAGTGGGGAGCAGGACAGATTCTGCCATCAGAGTGCGGAAGTTGCTGTAGGTAAATTGGCAGGCGTTGCAATGATTCTTTATGTAGCTGTGGCTGTAACACATGATCTGGGTAGAACAGGCTGCATTTGACTTCCACCATGGGAAGTGTTGTTCCACGTGTGCAAATCGGCCAGCAACTTTAGTTGCAGCATTTCTTTGTAGACTGCTTGCATGGACACCTGTTATTTTTGTAAGCCCATGAAAACACGGGCTCGAGCACGTGCCGCGCGTAGTTTCGTGACTGCGACGCCAGACCCCGCGACAATGCAGAAGGTGGGGTTGTGTAGAGACCCCGACAATCCATCTGTAGTACCATTATGGAACTAGGGTTTAGGGATGTTTAGGGTTTTGGGTTTTAGTACTCAAACCCTATGTAGTATGGTTTCTGGTTCCTTATTCCAAATGGTACAACAGACCCTCTGGGAGGAAAACATTTGGACCAGGGCTCTCTAGAAGAAAAGGCAACGCTTATGGCTAACGGCTCCCGTATACGCCCCAGGTGGCCATCTTCGTCCTCGTGGCTCTCAGTCATGGACTGAAGTATGACATCATCAAGGACGCATCCGACAAACAGCCAGGTTGCAAAGGCCGGAAGAGCAAAAGCAAGACCACTTGCTCCGAAGTGGCGGATGATGAATGCGACGGGACCTGGATTGAGCACGCGGATAGCATATTGCAGTGCAAGCTTACCAAATCCGGGTGCTTGTCTACGGGTCCGCTGTGCAAGCCAGTTGTGGGTCCCGGCATCGGCAAGGATGGCATCGTGGCTTGGTACAGGAGTGAGGATGCCGAGCCAGTCTGGAAGAGCAAGGTGGGCAGTTTGGAGGCCAAGGCGACCCATGGCAGCGTGGAGGTGAAGGTCGAGAAAGGAAATGGGGCTGGCAAGCCCGTGAAATACATCTATGGCAACACGAATGCGTACTATGACTTTGGAAAAATCCTGAAGAAGGGCTTCACGATTTGCTCTGTCAGCCGCTATGCCGGAGGCCACACGAACCGTGTTCTCCAAGCCAGCGGGATGAACTGGTTGCACGGCCATTGGTCCTCTCGAACCGGCGTGGCGCATTACCAGACATGGAACACTCCAAGCTCGGGACCGAACAACAAGGAATGGCTGGTGTACTGCGGCACGTCTGGAAAGAGGGTCATGAATGGCGCGGGGAAGAACATAGCCAACAACAAGGCCAATGATCTCACAAGAGACTACAACCTGGTGGTCAACACGCCAGGCGAACGCTCGGAGTTTGGCGTCATGGAAGTCATCGTGTGGAACAAGCATCTCAGCGAAGATGACATGAAGAAAGTCGTCGAGTACCTGAACGCCAAGCTCGAGCACGGCTCTTCCTAGACTCCTTGACTCTCAGATGGCAAGCGCGCTGCCTAGGTTGAAATCAACAAGTCCGAGAAGTGGGGAGCAGGACAGATTCTGCCACCAGAGTGCGGAAGTTGCTGTAGGTAAATTGGCAGGCGTTGCAATGATTCTTTATGTAGCTGTGGCTGTAACACATGATCTGGGTAGAACAGGCTGCATTTGACTTCCACCATGGGAAGTGTTGTTCCACATGTGCAAATCGGCCAGCAACTTTAGTTGCAGTAGTTCTTTTTTGGACTGCCTGCATGGACACACCCTAAACCCTAAACCCTAAATTCATTAAACCACGGCTCGAGCACGTGCCGCGCGTAGCTTCGTGACTGCGACGCCAGACCCCGCGACAATGCAGAAGGTGGGGTTGTGTACAGACCCCGAGGATCCATCTGTAGTACTATTATGGAACTAGAGTTTAGGGTGTTGGGTGTTGGGTTTAGTACTCAAACCCTATGTAGTATGGTTTCTAGTTCCTTATTCCAAATGGTACAACAGACCCTTTGGGAGGAAAACATTTGGACCAAGGCTCTCTAGAAGAAAAGGCAACGCTTATGGCTAACGGCTCCCGTATACGCCCCAGGTGGCCATCTTCGTCCTCGTGGCTCTCAGTCATGGACTGAAGTATGACGTCATCAAGGACGCAACCGACAAACAGCCAGGTTGCAAAGGCCGGAAGAGCAACAGCAAGACCACTTGCTCCGAAGTGGCGGATGATGAATGCGACGGGACCTGGATTGAGCATGCGGATAGCATATTGCAGTGCAAGCTCACCAAATCCGGGTGCTTGTCTACGGGTCCGCTGTGCAAGCCAGTTGTGGGTCCCGGCATCGGCAAGGATGGCATCGTGGCTTGGTACAGGAGTGAGGATGCCGAGCCAGTCTGGAAGAGCAAGGTGGGCAGTTTGGAGGCCAAGGCGACCCATGGTAGCGTGGAGGTGAAGGTCGAGAAAGGAAATGGGGCTGGCAAGCCCGTGAAATACATCTATGGCAACACGAATGCATACTATGACTTTGGCCCCATCCTGAAGAAGGGCTTCACGATTTGCTCTGTCAGCCGCTATGCCGGAGGCCACACGAACCGTGTTCTCCAAGCCAGCGGGATGAACTGGTTGCACGGCCATTGGTCCTCTCGAACCGGCGTGGCACACTACCAGACATGGAACACTCCACACTCGGGACCGAACAACAAGGAATGGCTGGTGTACTGCGGCACCTCTGGAAAGAGGGTCATGAATGGCGCGGGGAAGAACATAGCCAACAACAAGGCCAATGATCTCACAAGAGACTACAACCTGGTCGTCAACACGCCAGGCGAACGCTCGGAGTTTGGCGTCATGGAAGTCATCGTGTGGAACAAGCATCTCAGCGAAGATGACATGAAGAAAGTCGTCGAGTACCTGAACGCCAAGCTCGAGCACGGCTCTTCCTAGACTCCTTGACTCTCAGATGGCAAGCGCGCTGCTCAGGTCGAAATCAACACGCCCGCAGTTGAAGACTCTTTTCGAGCCTGAGAAAAGGGGGGAGGGAGTGGGAGATGAGAGTCACTGCTGAGAGAGTGGACGAAGGCACGGCATCTGTTGTGTCAGTCGTCAGTATGTCGCCGCCCTTGCGAGTCCCCATTTTTGCACCTTCTTGTGCCTCGCGCGGAGTCGCCACGCACCCTCAACCAGCTTAACATCTGCAGAGATCCGAAACCCCCACGGTCCGATAAGCTCTAAACCCTAAACCCTAAACCCTAAACCCTAAACCCTAAACCCTAAACCCTAAACCCTGTTACACTTTACACTAGAAAGCCAACAGAGCGACGAAGCCCGAAACGCTACGAAGCCTGAAGTGTGGTCAGGCTGACCTGGCCCTCCCTCCAGAGGCTCCCCGGGCCCCGTGCTGCGATTTTGGGGCTTATTCTGGCCATGATGGTTTAAGGTTTAGGGTTTAGGGTTTAGGGTTTAGAGTTTGGGGTTAGAGTCTTGGCCCTGGATCCTGGTGGTTTGAGGGTTCAGCTACTAGGACGACCGCTTTTTGCAGCTGCAAACTGCCAACTCCCAATAGCCTGTTCTTTACGTGGTGTCTGCTGTGATGGACCCTAAACCCTAAACCCTAAACTGCTGCTTTGCCACCCGCCTAGACCTAGTCTGGACCCCTCAAACCTCGGATCTTTGACACTCATGCCCCAGAGATACACTTCGGCAGGACCGCAGCAATCCCTGAACCCTAAACCCTAAACCCTAAACCCTACAGGACCGCAGCAAAATCGTCTTCCTGGACGTGGATGGCGTGCTCCGGCCGGCTCGTGCAGGACTGCATTTCTTGAAACTCGTGCCTTACGTTTGCGTATGTTTCCGGATAGGGCTTGTTGGGGATCCCTAAACCCTACACCCTAAAGCCTAAACCCTAAACCCTGAACCCTTTCCGGATAGAGCTTTTTTGGGGACCCCACGGCGTCGGGATTTCGGGCGCCCTTTCCCACAAGCGGGCTTTGCTTTCGATGCGGTTTGCCCAGCTCCTGGAGAACAGCTAGGGTGGCCACAACCGACAGTTAGGGCTTAGGGCTTAGGGTTTAGGGTTTAGGGTTTAGGGTTTAGGGTTTGGGTTTACAAGGTTTGTTAACCCCAAAGAAAGCTCGAGAGCAGATCCCTCCCTAACGCGCTTTTCGACGCACCTGACAAATGACAGTTGGGTCGGATCGGCTCGCGAAGCTTGGTCTGCAATTGTCTTTCAAACAGGGTTTCCGAGTGCATGCGTCAAGGTCTAAAGGCCCTTGCACGGATCTTTTGCAAAGGTCTGTGCCCTCCAAATTGACTCCAAATTCCGGAAGCTACACCCCCCTCTATACTACCCCTCCTAGGTGTCCCCCATTAGATAATCCCAACTAGGCTTGATTCCCCCTACAGAGGGCGGTAGTAGGGGAACCACCCTAAACCCTAAACCGCAGCTCTGCGCGCAGGCACTTTTGACATTTCCACTGATGGTGAGGCCGTGCCTGCGCTGAGTTGAGACCCTCACTTAGGGTTTAAAGGTTAGAGTTTCGGGTTTAGGGGTTTAGGGTTTAGGGTTTAGCAGTTTGCGGGTGTGTGAAGCAGGGGTTCCTTTCTGGCAGTCATCAAGTCCCAGTTACAAAAAGGGTTTAGGGTTTAGGGTTTAGGGCTAAGGAGGGGAGGGACCCGTACGAGGGACCCAAAGGGTTCGTTGGGGGGTTACTTAGGGGCTACTGAGGTATATAGGAACTACATAATGTATATATGGGGGGGGCAGTTCTCTTGACCCTTTTTGGAATCTCTTGGGGGTACCTAGCATAATTTATGCAACACCTCTCTTCTTTAGGATGTCCCAACATTCTACAAGGGGCCATACACATAGCGTAGGCCCCCTCCCAAAATATCACAAAAAGATCAAAAACCTTCTCAAGCTGACGCCGTTCGTGAATCGGGCCCCTTTTCATCACAAATCCTCGAGGGGTCGGACTATTTACTCATAGTATTCCCCTATGGCTCTTATATGAAATAGAAATGGACGATAACAACCCCCCCCCCCCCCCCCAAGCCCGATTCTAACTAGCAAGGCCCCTTTCTTGCAATCCGGATGCGTCGACCCTGACTCCTGAGCTTGATTTAGCATGTAGGCTGCAGGGTTTGGGGTTTAGGGTGTAGGGTTTCAACCAAGCACCCAACAGTACCCGCCCAAAACTTCAACCCTAAACCCCAATAAAGCCGAAAAACTAAACAACTGCAGCCTAAACCCTAAACCCTGAACCCTGAAACCCTAAACCCTAAAACCCTAAACAACTACACTACACATCATCCCAGCCTTTTCCCTGTACGGTTCTCGCATAAACTACACCCCCCCCACCCCCCTCCACCCCCAAGAAAAAAACACAAAAACCCCTTAAACCCTCAACCCTATGCTAGCCCTAGACCCCCCCCCCCCCCCCCTAGCCCTCAACCCTAAACCCTAGCCCTAAACCCTATAAACCCCGAAGATCTGGAGCGCCTTTTGCCGAGGCGAAGCCCGACACTTCCGACTTTTTCCCTGCAGCTTTAAAGGCCCCCCGGGACATGTGCAGACGGCTACTTGGAGGTTGAGGGGGTAGTCGGAAGTAGGTAGGTTATAAGTATGGCAACTATACTTATGACCCCATTTTAGGGTACGTACAACCCTACTTAGAACTCCCCATGAACCTCCAACTAGGTATAGGGTTGGGGATTTAGACTTTAGGGCTTCAAAAGGGATCGGCGTTCGGCCGGTCTTCTTGAAGTCATCAGATGACTCGCAATAAGCACTCATCGTAGTCTCATTATGGGTAGTTCTCTAAACTAGGGTCCCTTTTTGGGATCCCTTTTTTAAAAGGGTGCCGCCTTATACTGGTTTGCCCAAAAAGGGACCCTAATTTAAAAGGCTATCCATGTGATCACTATATAAGTATACTATACTAACCCCCAAAACCCTACTTGGAGGTTCATGGGTACCTATATGATAAGTAGGGTTATAAGTACCCTAAGTACGGTCATCGCCATAGTTACCCAACTTGTAACCCTACGTATCAGTACCCCTGAACCTCCAAGTAGACCCGACCCTAAACCCTAAACCCTAAACCCCAGAACCTCCAAGTATTAAGGGCCCTCTAGTATGGTGCTTCTGTGCAGGGCCACCCATAGGCCCAAAGGGCCACTTCTGTAATGCCTCTAATCCTTAAACCCTAAAATCCTAAACACCTGGTCATTGCGCAGGCTCTTCGTCACATCATGGTGCTGCGCTCAGCTTTGGTATTCCTCACCATCTCAAGAAAAGGAAGCTGTACCGAAGCTGTGACTTACATGGCTCTGACAAAAGAATCAAGGGCAGAATCCGAGGGTCTGATTAATAGGGCCAAGGGTGCGGGGGGGGGGGGGGGGGAACCAACCGCCACCTGGGAAAATAAGGAAGGGGGTGGCATTATTTCTCGGGCTGCCCAAAGAGCCCAATATTGCTTCATTAAGGAATATCCCTGAAATCATATAGGTATCCTTACTATGATTTAAGGTATATTCCTTAATTAAGCTATATATGGGGCTCTTTGGGAGGTTGTTTTTTTTGGACGGGCGGGGGGGGGGGGGGGGGGGGGGGGGGGGGGGGGCAGGTGGGCGGAAAGGGGCTGTCCGCTTGTGTCCTTATCCGTTCCTCTTCTCCTCTTCTTGTCCTCCTAAGTAAGTATGTGTGTTTCCGTCCGTGGTTTTAGTTTTCCGGGCAAACTTTCTTTGGGCTCTCCGAAATTTGTTTTCTCTAATTCTGGGGGCTGTGTGTTTGCCAGGGTCCAGCCCTGAATTCTGGCCACGTAAGGGGTAGGGGTTTGGGTTTAGGGTTTAGGGTTTAGGGTTTAGGGTTTAGGGTTTAGGGTTTAGGGTTTAGGGTTTAGGGGGTAGGTCAGGATCGAATGATTTGGGCGTCGATCCTGCAAGCGAAGGGGCAAAGAATGGCAGTCCTCTGCTGCAGCTTCCCAAAGACTCCAATATCCCTTAATTAAGGAATATACCTTAAATTATATTAGGGATCCTACTATAAATTAAGGCATATTCCTTAATTAAGGGATATTGGAGTCTCTGGGTTCCAACTCCAAGAAAAATCCGAGAGCACGTCGTGGGCAACTGCTTGCGTGCATCACGTCATCGTGGACCCGCCGAGCTTTCCCGGATCTTCCAAAACAGCTGAACTCAGGAAGATACCCAGAGACTCCAATATCCCTTCATTAAGGAATATACCTTAATTTATAGTAGGATCCCTAATATGATTTAAGGTATATTCCTTAATTAAGGGATATTGGAGTCTTTGGATACCCTTATTCATAATAGTGATCCTTTGCTTAAATAGGAGGGCATATTCCCTCAAATGAAGGGGTTTTGGAAGATCTGGGTTCCATTATATTGTTGTTATTCCCTGTAGCCTTCAGCTGTCCACGGTTTGGGTTTAGGGTTTGGCATCCATTGTTTGGTTTCTTGTTTTGGCTCCTTCCAAGAACCCGGATCTCCCAAACAACCCCTTAACTAAGGAAAGTAATATAGGGGTCGGAAGAATTCCTCATAATATTCCCTTGGTTTCTTTACATCATTATACTATAACAACCCACCATTCCGGAACGTACGGAAGGGTGCGAGGCAGGTGGCAACAATAGGGAACCCAAAGACAACAATATCCCTGAATTAAGGAATATCCTATTATAAATTAAGGTATATTCCTTAATTAAGGGATATTGGAGTCTCTGGGAACCCCAAATATACACTAGTGCCAAACTCTTGGAGGAGCACATGCTTGCTGAGGAGCGAAGCAGTGCCAAAGTGGTCTTGTGCTCTGAGTGGCGGCGCAACGAGGTGCATCGGGCCTGCGTCATCATTGTAGATGGGGTTCAGGGTTTTAGGGTTTAGGGCCAGTTTAGGGTTTAGGGTTCAGGGCTTGCATTCGTCATGTATAGAAAAGAGCCTTGTTCAGCTTCAACAAATCGGACAGCAGATCAAGCTTTAAATCCATCTTCTGGTGGCTTGATGGAGCTGCTGCTTCCCGGGCGGGCTACAGCAATCGAGGAATCTCCAGCACGAGCTGCCACGCACTTGTTTCGCACTTGGAGGTTCATGGTAGTTATAAGGGTGCTTGTAAATATGGTGACTATATTTGTAACTCTGTTTGGGCTTCTTATAACCCTACTTATAAGTACCCATGAACCTCCAAGTCAGCCTGGCGAATCACCATCTATCGCTGAATCACCTGGCAGATCCTCCTCAAAGCTTTGGAGGACATCTTCAACAAGAACAGGCCAGGAACCCCAAACCCTAAACCCCAAACCCGAAACCCCAAACCCCAAACCCTAAACCGACTTGCCCTTGGAATCCAAGGGATTTTGTAGAAGCCTTTGGGGCCCCCAGTCGTTCGCCTTTTTGGCATCTTTGGGTTCAGCTTCTTGCGTCAGTGTTCAGAAGTACATGTCTGCCCTCGGGGCACGAAACTGATGGCTTCTTAGCAGGCGGTATACAAGAGGTAAAAGGTGCCTTGTTCTCTCATTCCCTGTTCAAGACAAGTACGGAAAGGTGACTAATCGCATCGACTGGCGATTTGCGGCTTTGCGTATTTGGCTAGCACAGCCCACAGCTCGACATGTTTTCAGGCTGCGTTTGTGGAGCGACATCACCACCCAGGAGTTTAAGCTGGAGAAAGGCTGCGCAGCTGCTTTCACTATCCTGTACCTTACACCTGCTATTTGGTTAAGAGCCACCCTCAAAAGAGAAGATTCTTCCTTAAAAAACGGATTCTTAATTCTTGGGGTGGTTCTTAAGCACATAGTAGACGCATCCGAAGCCCTCCGTGTCAGCGGTAGACATGGCTGCTTGTCTGGCTGCTCCTGCGCCTGCCTCCCAAATATCCATCCTTGAACCAAACCTCCAGCCCTCAGAGCGTTCTCTCTTGGCCGAAGCCCCAAACACAGAGCGTTCTCTCCTGGCCGAAGCCCCAAGCTCCCTCGAAAAAGATTCTTACAATCCTATATTGGTATGTATATGGTTGTATGGTTATGATATTATACTATTCTGTCAGAACAACAATATTATCAGAATCTTCTGTCATGATATTACACGGTCTATTATGCTATTGTATATCATTGTGTTCTACTTTTACAGTATAATATGTTATAATATTACGTTACTTTGTCTTTATATTATACTGTATTATTTTGTTGCTGTATATTTTAATGTTATATGACACTTTACTAACAGTATTGCACTCCATTATCTTTATGATTCTTGGTCTTAATATTATACAAGTTTAGAACTATTTTTTTAGTCCGTGATTATACGGTGTTATTATCCTAGGTAGGATAAGGGGGACCCTTAAAAGGCAACCCTTCCGAACCCGCTTCTGGCTCTCCTAAACACGGACCTACTGAGAGGGTCTATAGCCCCAAGGGTCCCCCTAATCCTATCCTCCAACCCCTAAACCCTAAACCCTAAACCCTAAACCCTATGTTATTCCATTAGTGCCAGGCAGCGATGCCCTCCGCTGCTTCGCCGACAGGCGGTCTTGGGCCTCAGCCACCATGCCATGTGGGTTTAGGGTTTAGGGTTTAGGGTTTAGGGTTTAGGGTCTACTTGGAGGTTTCTGGGTACTTGTACGTAGGGTAATAGGTAGGGTCACTACCTTATTTGGGCTACCTATCACCCTACTTTGTAAGTACCCATGAACCTTCAAGTAGGGTTTAGGATTTAAGGTGTATGGGGGTTTCCTTCTTATGACTTTTAGTTAAGGGTATATACGTTGCTCGAGGTTGGGTGTTTGTTGAGAATGTTTCTCGATGGCCGGTGCGATGGTTCAGGATGAAAGGTCAACAAGATCCCTAAACCCTGAATTCCCACCCGGCCTGCCTAGGCCGTACCCACCTTTACTAGGGTGCCTGGACCCAGAACTAAATCCGGCAGCGAGACACACCTTTACAGATGGACAATGGGTGGAGCCATTGGAGAGTGGTCAAATTCAGCCCCTATAGGCCTGAGCCTTGCTTTAGGACCACTACCGTGGTGCCTTTTTCTTACAAGGGGAACCCCCAGGATCCTCCTCTTGATGAGAATACCCAGCCCAACAAGGCACAGTTACGCCCCTAACCCCCCTGGTTCCCCTCTGGCCCTCTCCCCCTACCCCTGCCCTTCTGGCCCGCCCGCCCCCCGCTGCCCTCACCACCCCTTTGTAGAAAATCTGAAGCAATGGTGGGAATTGAGGGCGACAGCCCTAAACCCTAAAAGTTAGTGGTTTGGGTGGTGAAAGAACCCAGCACCAATGAAAATTGTTGGGTTGCATTGGAAACAGATGCCTTCGCGTGACACGCCGCCCCCCCACACCCCTGGGTGTGTAGGGGCGCCATTTCCACATGGTATCTACTGCCGCTGCGCGGCGAGACGGCCTAAACCCTAAACCCTATAGCCTATACCCTATATTGCCCTATATACCCTAAACCCGAAACCCTAAACCGTAAACCCTAAACTCTTGCGGGTCTAAGATGGCCTAAGTATCCACATGCTTCGGGCCCTCAGGTCCAAGGAGATAACCGCGTGGCTGCGCAAACACGAGGCGGAGTTCTGCCCATGAGCCCTTGTGGAGTCATGTGGGGGCGAGCTGCGCGTTCAGGGTTTAGGGTTTAGGGTTTAGGGTTTAGGGTTTAGGGTTTAGGGTTTAGGGACTTTCAGGCCCAGCTCCTGGTTCAAAAACCCCTGGCTGCTCCGTTCTGTCGAAGTGGAGTCCATGGTCGCCGGTATGTAGGAGTGGCTCATGCGCCCTTACTAGTCCTACTACTATTTGCTTAAGAACCACCCCAAAACACCCCAGGGTTAGAATATTCTTCCTTGTGGGGGTAATATCGGGAATATTCTCCTTGACACTTTTTGGGGTTCTTGAGCAACCAGTGGGCTAGTGTAGCTGCCGAGCATCTGCCCATCTGCCCCCCATTTTTCTGTTCAAGCACAGCCCTCCGCCTCAACCGATTAGGTTCTGGCTTCGTCTTTTGCCTTTTGCTTCGGCATCCCGTGCCGTACTGCTGCGACCTGCTGGTGCCTTTCTTTGTTGTCATGAGCTCGCCGATGGAGGACGAGATCGTTGTTGCCCTGGACTGGACGCCCAACACCAACCACAGCGGATTCTACGTGGCACAGGTGGCTGGCCTCTACTCTTCTGCAGGCCTGAAAGTGACTTGGTAGTAGAGGACAGGTAACTTTTAACCTTTTCGAATTAGTAGGATCCCCTTATAATCCCAAAGGTTAACCATGGTTAACCTTTACTTCCCCCAGGTTACTGGACAGCTAAGGTGAAGCTTTGCTCCGCAGACGCTGGAGATGGGACAACCCCAGCGAGACAAGTGGCCCAGAGGGCCGCGCATTTTGCCGTGGCCCCATCTGAGAGCGCGGTCTCCTTTGCCACAACGGAGCCTGACACTTTGTCATAGTTGGGTAGCATTTTACATTTTTAAGGGCACTTAGTACTAAACCCAATATGGAATAACAAAAACAAACTTTCAATATTATCCCAACCATGAACTAGGACAAGCCCCGGCTGGTTGCCGTTGCCGCGCTGTTACAGGGAAGTGCCTCGGCTATTTGCACATTGAAGAGCTCGGGCATCGACCGTCCCGCCAAGCTTGCAGGCAAGAGGTACGCCTCCTACAATGGGCGCTTTGAGGATCCGATTGTGTCCCGGATGGTCAGCAACGATGGTGGCGATGGTCAAAGCGTGCAATTTCACGGCCTGGATGCTCATGGGTACCAGGACGACGACACTATGGGTGCCGGCTCAGTCGTTGCCTCATACCTGGAGAAGGGCAGGTCAGATCTGCCAAAACCCGTTAATTTAGGAGTATACCGCAGTATACCCTAAATTTCATAATAATGATCCTTCGTAAGAATTAGGAGTATATTCCTAAAATGAAGGTGTTTTGGAAGCTCTGGGCAGGTCAGATTCGACGTGGATTTTTCCGGCGTGGGAAGGCGTTCTGGCCGAGCGCGCCGGCCAGCACCTTCATTGCTTTGGGTTGGAGGACTACGGAATCCCGTACGGTTACTCCCCAGTCCTACTTGCTCACCCTGATGATTTGGCACCTCGGCCCCTGTTTCGCCCTAAACCCTAAACCCTAAACCCTAAACCCTAAACCCTAAACCACTGCTTCAGCCTGAAGACGGTGTCTGAAGTGCTAGAGGTTCCAGGCAAAGTCGATCTTAAACCTTAAACTCTAAACCCCAAACCCCCTAACCGTCCAGCCAAGTCCCCCAGATCTTCCAAAAGTTCTTCATCCATAGTCAGATTACTGCACTTCACACACATCTTCATAGATAAGGAGTACAGCCTAATTCGTAATCATGATCCTTAGTCTCAATGAGGGTATACTCCTTAATTAAGGGGGTTTTGGAAGATCTGGGCAAGTCCTGCTGGCACCCTGAACCCTGAACCCTGAACCCTAAACCCTAAACCCTAAACCCTAAACCCCAAACCAAGTCCTGCTTGGCACCCAGGTAGGCCCCCAGGCCGAGAGGGTCAAGGCGTTCTTGGCCGCCACGGCCGAAGGCTACCGCCGAGCAGCCGCAGGGCCAGAGGAGGCCGCGAAGCTCGGATGGCCTGTAGTACCCTTATTAGGATAGGATTTAGGGTTTTAGGGTTTTAGGGTTTAGGGTTTAGGGCTTTAGGGTTTTAGGGTTTTAGGGCTTTAGGGTTTAGGGTTAGGGCTTTAGGGGCCTGAATAATTAGAATAGGGTTTGGGGGGGTTAGTATAGTATAACTATGAAGGGATCCTAACAGAACAATATGAGGAATTGTTCCGACCTGTCTAGTACCCCATTCACTTTTCTGGGTTCTTTTGGCTCCCTTTTTTTGAAAAAGAAAAAGAGGTTTATTGGTTCCCTTGTAACCCCTTTAAGCCAAAACAAATAAGGGCACCCTATCTCCACAGATTCAGGAGACGGTTCATGCTAGTAATAGAGCTGTTAACATGATTTTGGGCGAACGAGGAAAGCTTTGGCAAGCTGTGGCCACCCTTCTCTGAAGGATCCGGAGTTGCGAAGCTGCAGAGAATGAGCACAGGGGCGGGGAGTTGTTGTTGGGATGCTCTTAGGGTTTAGGGTTTAGGGTTCTTTGGCCGTCCATGAACCTTCTCTATTTTCATTGAAAAGATGGCAGCAGTTCTTTTCATACATGATATATACATATGTATTTGGGGCCATGGAACCTCGCAAGGTTTCTGGAGGCCTCCAGCTCGTGTATTGCAAAGCAGTTTCTGACTCCAGATGGCAAGTGGGGCTTCATGGACTCCAAGCGCTGGGATGATTTTGTGAACTTAGTAGCGGATTGAGTGCACTGTACACTTTTTGGGATAGTAGAATCCCCTATAGAACTGAAAGAAAGTGTACACTTTTTTGGGGCTTATGAACTCGGCAACTAAGGTGAACTTCCTTTGCCTTTCCGGGATCGTGCGTGACAGGGCCGGTGGGGCCATACCCCGCGAGGCTATCAAGGTGGAGTCTCTCTTCACAAACCACTTCCTCCCTTAGTGGGCGGTCGGCATGGGTTGTTCTTCAGAAGTGTACAGAGGAGTGTGCTGGGTGCCGTACAGCCGGATGTTGCACCAGGAAAGGCACTTGGTGCATGTACACCCACAGCTTCTACCTCCACGCGTCGTGCTCCGAATCCCAGGAATGGACATTTTATGCCACTGCTTTGCAGGCAAAGCACAGCTGCACTGGCGTGTTGCGGGGCCTCTTCAGACATCTTCGTGACAGGTTGGCAGGTGAAAAAAAAGTGTGCTGCATGATTCGCTGTGGTTGCTTGATGAGGCACTTTGCAACTTCTGCACGAACGCGCTGAGTAGGTGCTGGCCGTATTTCCTTGCCTCAGGCTGCTTTGATATTTATGGCTTCGGGTGGTCAGGTCTTGTGGTGTTACATTGACGTTGCGTGAGTTTCTGGCCTTTAGGGTTTAGGGTTTAGGGTTTAGGGTTATTCATCCAGCGCCTATGTCCTTGAAAATGCTCAAGTCACTGCTGCAGTGCAGCCGTTGAGTGTATGTAGTTAGTGCCTCCCCTAAACTCTAATCTCTAAACCCTAAACCCTAATTCCTAAACCCTAGACCCTAAACCCTAAACCTTAATTCCTAAACCCTAAACCCGAATTCCTAAACCCTAAACCCTAATTCCTAAGCCCTAAACCCTAAACCTCGACGTGGGTGACCCTACCACCAGCACTCAATAGAGCACAGGCACCCATGCAGGATCCATGAATCCCGAACCTCTGAAGCCAACCCCTAAGCTTAGGGTTTAGGGTTTAGGGTTTAGGGTTTAGGGTTTACGGTTTAGGATTTAGGTTTAGGGTTTAGGGTTTGGGTTTAGGGTTTAGGGTCTAGGGAGCGACACGTGTAGGACCTGCATGAGAAGACTAGCATGTGCCTAAGTGCATATGATCTCTTCTTTTTAAAGTGTGGTGCTTTGAAGCCACTGTTGGGGTGATTTACGGCGGCCCCGAAAATTTTAGGGTACCCAAAAGCGAACCAAATTTTCGAGAACCCTAAACCCTAAACCCTAACCCCTAAACCCTAAACCCTAAACCCTAAACCCTAAACCTAAACCCTAAATCGTGATTCGTTCAGAATCGGTGAATGCCAGGGTGAGGTCAGCGGCTGGGTCGTCCTGGACGATATTAACCTGTCCATCGCGGACGAATCTCAGGTGGGCCCCTTTTGGGGACCCAGCCTTAGGGTTTAGGGTTTGGGGTTTGGGGTTTAGAGTTTGGGGTTTAGGGTTTAGGGTTTGGGGTTTAGGGTTTAGCGTTTAGGGAGTGCACCCTGACAAGTTGGTCCTCTGAAGCACAAAGAGATTCGAGATTGCCCCTTCAATAAATTCACTGTCCTTGAAGGGTGGATGCGCATGTTTGGCTTACCTACCTCGCCCTCAACCGATATGTAAACATTCGGCATGCCCTTCAAGATTATCCAGATTCCGAGAAGTAGAAACGTACATATTCAAACTCGTACGGAATGACGTTAATTTGCATTCTTGGTTGGCATGAGAACATGTGTATAGATATATAGATATTGTCTATACACTCTATGGTTCAGTATTTGATCAATGTTTTGCCTAGCAAACGCCTTCTTTGCCTAGCGAGCCCAAAAGAATTCAAGCTTCCCCAGAGATGTTCCCGAAAAGTCTGGATTTGTGGATTTCCTCGCCATGGCCTTGGCCAATTATGCGTTAACCCTAAACCCTAAACCCTAAACCCTAAGATGTTGATTTTCAAGTGAGGGGAGCATCCCTGGCAACAAAAAACGAAGTGCCGATGGTTTTGTCGGCCCTCCTAAACATTGGAGGTTCATGGGCAGTTATAAGGTGGCAACTATACTCATAACCTTAGTTAGTGTACTTCTAGCCTCCAAGTAAGCATTGGAGATGAGCTAGTTTGTCCGTGGGCGTCCTGCCGTGCGCAAGCGTGAGATAGCCTGCAGAGGCAAAGAAGGCAGCCAACAAGTCAACCCCGATGGGTCCGCACCATGCAGGGGGCCTCAGCACTGGAGATTAGGGTTGAGGGTTTAGGATTTAGGGTTTGGGGTTGAGAGTGGGGCTCCTCTGGGAAGGTGATGAGAGTTGATACGGGGGTCCTAAACGATGATCCGCCGAGGTGTCGGGCCGTAGGTGGATGGGGCGCGTGCCCCACCAAACCCCCCGCACCGGCCTCAACCCACCCTTCAATCCCACCTTGTTCTTCTGGTGCCTGGTCTGCACATGAGCCTGTTACAACAGCATCCCGAAAAGGGAATGGTTGCACAATGCCTCTCAAAGCCCTGACTTGCCATCAAGCAGCACCTTCATAGTCACACCCGCGATCTTGGGTTGCTTCGCCGCTGGGCAGGCCGAGGCCAGCCGCGTAGCGAGAAAATGAAATGAAATGGGGAGAAGGGGCGGGTAGGATTTAATATTTAATGGAACGATGACTCAATAGGCTCCTATGCCAGGACTTCTTGCCCTTAGCAAGATCACTTCGTACGTGCCGAAGTAGACGGATAGGGCGGCCCTAGGGCGCGTGTCTCTTGATTCCCTCATGATTTGAACCACTTTGCTCAAGAGAGAGCCGCCTTCTTGAGCGGAGCGCATGCGTGGCCGCAGATTTGGGTAGTTGGTGTACCATCGAAAACCACTGCTCTAGAACTGTGCTGAACTGTAGGGAATTGTTTCAGCCGGCCTGCGAACGAGCGCTTCATTTATGGCGACTTCGTGTCCGTGGCGTGCTGACTGGGAGGCTGTCTGCAAACAGTCACCTGGGGGGTGTTGGGCTCCAGTAGCCACGGGCACTTGCAAGCAGAAAGCCATTCTCCGATGCTTGGCAGCATGAGACTGCGACATCCTGCGGCCATGTACTTCTACAAAGAGTGAGAGTCGGAGTTCCTTGAGTACTTTTTGCTTATGAACACCCCCCCCCCACCCCCAAAAAAAATAAAAATATAAAATAATAATAATATATATATATATATATATATATATTTTTTTTTTACTTCGAACATCCCCACCACTCTGGGTAAAGATACTCTGGGGTTGGGCACTCCAGGGCACTCCAGGGACACTCTGCGAGTGGGCATTCCGGGCCCCAAGGGACACTCTGGGGTTGGGCACTCCAGGAGGGTGGGGAACAACTATTCTTCCTTATAAGGGTAATATAGGGATTATAATCTATTTTTTGTGGGGGTTCTTAAGCAAGTAGTAGTTGATGATGTCAGGAAAGCACCTCCAGCTCGAACTGGCATACTGGAAGGTGCCGAACTCGGCAAGACGGAGAGCATGAAGTTAGTCGGCAACGCCAGCATCTAACTCGTCTAACCTCTCCCTCCCCAACACCCACCCCTTCCCTAAACCCTAAACCCTAAACCCCTTCCAGTCTCAAATGCCTTCACCCAGAAGACGAGACGCATCTGGAAACCTCTTAAAGGCACGGCGCCAGGACCTACAGAAGCAGAGCGAGGCCGCTATGTCTCAGGCGCCGGGTCTTGGGGAGGGTTTAGGGTCTAGGGCCTGGGCTCAACAAAACGGGTTTAGAGCTTAGTGGGGCCTGGGGATCTTCATCCCACTGCAAGGCATTTGCAGGCCTCGGATTCCAACCCTAAACCCCCTAAACCCCCTAAACCCCCTAAACCGGGTAGAAGCAGTAGGCCTATGGTCTAATGGTGGACCTTGCCTCCTGCCAAAGATGGATGCGTTCGATGTCGAGATCCGACAGCGCGAGGCAAAATGGTGGCTCGAGCTGAAGCTCCCTGGTTGAACAAGAGATCCCTAAACCCTAGCCCTAAACCCTAAACCCTAAACCCTAAACCCTAGCCCTAAACCCTAAACCCTAACCCTAGCCCTAAGCCCTAAACCCTAAACCCTAAGGGGTGTTATTGACATCAGACAAGGCTTCGGCCTGATCTGTATGGGGGTTTTGAAAAGAAGGGACCCCTAATTCACACCCCCAGGTAGGGTTTAGGGTTTAGGGTTTAGGGTTTAGGGTTTAGGGTTTAGGGTTTAGGGTTTAGGGTTTAGGGTTTAGGGTTGGATTCCCTTACAATATAATAAGGTCCCCAATATGGCATCATTTAATTTCGGAAACCCCAATATCCCTTGGTGAATTAAGGGATGTTCCTGAAATTCGGCGAAAGCAAGGATCCTTTTGGGAATATTCCTGATTTGAGAGAGCTTGTGCTGGGTAGGTTGCTGAAAGCTGTTGGGGCACTTGGCACCCCGACAACCCTGCCTCCCAGGAGAAGAGAAGCCCTGAAGAACCCTAAGCACCCGAAACCCTAAACCCTAAACCCTAAACCCTAAACCCTAAACCCTAAACCCTAAACCCTAAACCCTAAACCCTAAACCCTAAACCCTAAACCCTAAACCCTAGCCCTAGACCCTACAACCCTCCCAGGCCCCAAGCTGCCACGGCCACGATGGAGCTCGAGGTGTCCTTGGTCGCCTTTCGGGGCTTTTCGGGGTGTTCCGGTTCCCCAGGGTTTACGGTTTAGGGTTTAGGGTTTAGGGTTTAGGGTTTAGGGACTGTGCCCAGCTGCCGGCAGAGAAGTCTGGGCTCGAAAGGGCTGAGGGTTCATACTTGGAGGTCTCATGGGGGGTAGCTAGAAGTAGGGATCTTATAACAGTATAAAACTATACCCTAAACCCTAAACCCTAAACCCTAAACCAAACCCTCGGGTACGTATAACCCTACAAATAACCTAAGGCAATTTTGGAGTTCACAGGGTACAGGGTGCTCCTGTGCCCTTGTCGGCCGGCTCCGGCCTTGCTCCAATGACCCCCCCACCCCCAGCAATGACCCAAAGAGCCCAATACCCCTTGAGGAATATCCCTTAAATCATATTTAGGATCCCTAATGTAATTTGAGGTGTATTTCTCAATTATTGGGCTCTCTGCCTGCAGCGTGCTCTTTGAAAGCCCGAAGCCGCTTCGTCGCTGCCTTGTGTGGGTGAAGGTGTCGACAGCCGAAAGCCGATATGAAACTCCCTTGACTAAGGAACTTACCTTAAACAATATCGGATCCCTATATATGATTTGAGGTATATTCCTTAATGAAGGCTATGGGGCATTGGGCTCTTTGGGTGAATTTCGGCGCTAGTACGGGCGGGTTGTGCCCGAGGTAGCAATGTCTGGACTTTTTTGCCGCTGGGCGGCAGTCTAGCCCTGGACCCGAACCTGGCATCCTACCCCCCTATTTTTCTACAGAGCTCGCGTCTAGCTATAATGCCCCTTAATTAAGGAATATACCGTAAGTCGTAGTAAGGATCCCTATATGATTTAAGGGTATACCTGAAGAACCCCAAACCCGCTTTTTTGGTGGGTTCTTAGTCTATAAATCCCCTTATAGGATTCTAACAAAAAACTAGGTTTTGGGTTTAAGGTACTACTTATTTCAGGGGTCCAAAGGGCTCTCTTTTTCAGGCGACCCAAGATCGACTCGAGAGCCTGTTGCGGCTGCGGGTGCGTCTGCTGGAAGACGGCCAGAGGCCGGCAGAACTAACCCTAAGGGTCCATGTACACTTGTTATTATATGCTTGGGCCCAAAAGTCCCCATGTAGCAAGTACTTTCTGGCCCAAGTTTTCCCTATTTAGCTATTTAGGTACATGGACCCTTAGGGTAAGCAATTGCGGTTCCCCTGACCCATGCCTTGGTACTCTCTCTCACTGTCTCTCTGTCTCTCGCTCTCTCACTCTCTCTCCCTCCCTCCCCCTCCTTGGGGACCAAATGAACCCTAAACGGGATTTTGGTTCATGGACCCGAATCGGGCTTATCGTAGTATGGGGTATATGACCCCCATCGTGCCTAGAGCCTCGAGTCCTGGAGCCGTGGCAAGAATCTGTAGCGCAAAGCCCCACAAACCCTTCTATAAAGCCCATGCTAGCTCCATAAACCCAATAAGCCCTATAAACCCTACACCATATGCACTATATATATATATATATACATATACATATATATATATATACATATTTTTCTATAAACCCTATGAACCCTGTCACATGAGCCCAGATCACTGGCTTGTGCAGGCTGCCGTTGATGCACCTGACCGCGACATCGGAGCTGGAGGTCTGCACCCTTAGATGGCTAGCATATGTGCATATCTACACTACAGCAAGATGCCATGTACATTTATATAACAAATATCATGACCTAGTACATCGTATAATGTATAATGTATAACACATCTAAGAATAGCAATAGTTCTTAATATGCATGTTGAGGTTCTGAGGGCTTCGTGTGGCCTGCATGCCTCCATTCCTCTTTTGCAAATGACCGTAGCAAGTCAGGTTTCGGGTTTAGGGCTTAGGGTTTAGGGTTTAGGGTTTATAGGGTTTAGGGTCAGACGCCCGCTGAAGCCAAGGCAGCTTCTTCCGACCTCTCACCGGGCGACGGCAATTCGCCGGACCCAACCTCCGACAGTTCAACAGTCGGCAATGGAATCTTGGGAGCCCACTGGTGCCCTTGTGCCCTGTTTGTTGTTTCTTGGCTCACTCTAAAGTAAACGCGCAACCAGCTCACAGAATGGTACCCTCAAAGTAAGATGGTCATTGGGTTACCAAGGAGTCCAAGCCGGGTCTGAAGTGTCAGGAGTACGTGAGATGCACTCAACTTCAAGCGAGTCTGCAGATTCGCCAGCGCACGTGACCGGCTTGCGTGGCTCGTGGCGCGCAGAGGAGCCAATGCTCCTGGACCCCTTGACATGCAGCGAGGCAGATCCTTCGGTGAAGGGTGCCACGAGGCCTGACCTTCCCAACGTCCCCGCGTACGTAAGCATTGCAGACCCTGGGTAGCTGAATGAGCACACTTTACACTTTTTGGGATACTACAATATCACCTTGTAGAACTGCAAGTGAACACCTTTTGGGGGCTTATGAACTCAGCAACTAAGGACCTAAGCATCGGCTCGAGGGAACACGGGGTGAGCTGCCGGCCCTGCAGTTTCTTTCATAGCCCCGGTGGCTGCTCCAGAGGCAGCTGGGTGGGACCTTACATACCACTTTACGACTTTATCAGTTTTGGGGTTCCTCTAATCATTCTAATTTCCTCTATACTTTCATATTATTAGGGGAGCTAAAAGTTAAAGCTTTTTTTATTGGGGTGTTTACTAAGAGCAACCAAGGCAAGAGCTGCAGGTTTTGCCACCTTTGCTCAGCCGGCATCGCCAAGAAGCGCCGGGTCAAGCTGCGAATCGGGGTCGCTATATCCTCCTTGGAATTTTGTTGTTGTTTACAAATTTTCGTTTATATAGAACCCAAGAGGATATTAAACATGTTATGTTTATTAAGGTTCTAAGGGGAGAAAAAAGGTCAAGAGCGCAGCGCAGCTGGAGGAATCTTGGCTGTTCGGTGGCCCGCTTGCTGGCAGGTAGCACCCAGATCTGCCAAAAAGCCCTTAGAATTAAGGAATAGACCCAAACTCAGAATCATGCTCCTTAGTATAAAGTCGGGTATTCTCTTGAATTTCAGGGGTTTGGAAGATCGGGGCATGTAGTGGGCAGGCGAAGATGAGACATGGGGCAGTTTGGTTGTGTAGTCGACCACGAGGCGCATGTGAAAGCCACCCCAACATAGTCTGACCCCCAAACCCTAAAACCCCAAGCCCTAAATACCGGCAGAAGGGCACATAAGCACATATCCTACGTAAACCCTAAACCCTAAACCCTAAACCCTAAACCCTAAACCCTAAACCCCCTTTAAACCCGTGGGTTGGGGGACGGGAGTCCCCACAAGGAGCAGATTCGCGAGCAGCAGGAGGTCGCGTACGACCTCGGCCTGCAGGTGGCCGCAGCACGCCTCCTGGACTCCACAGGGCTCCGTGGGTTTAGGGTTTAGGGTTTAGGGTTTAGGGTTTAGGGTTTAGGGTTTAGGGCTACCCAAAGAGCCCAATACCCCTTAATATAGCAATGTACCCTGAATCATACTAAGGGTCCCTATAGATTTTAGGGTATATTCCTTAATTCAGGGGTATTGGGCTCTCTGTGTATAGGGTGCTTTGGGATACCGGTCTAGTTTATGTAAGCAATCTTCCCACGAGCTGTGGATAAGAGTTCAGTTTGTGACTCTGTCGAATGGGTCAGAATCCTGTGGTAAATCAGAGCGTCACGGCAAAGGGTTTAGGGTTTAGGGTTTAGGGTTTAGGGTTTAGGGTTTAGGGTTTAGGGTTTAGGGTTTAGGGTTTAGGGCTCTTTCGGGCATGCCTTGGATTGGAGAGCCCGGTTTGTGTGGATGTTTAGGGCTTCGGGTTCCGGATGCGGCTGTCTTTTTCTTTCTTCAATACTTGCCTTGCAACTATTGCTTGCGAACCCCCGGAGCATGCATATATTCTTCCGCGCATCTGGCGCCGCGATATTTTCGTGCATTCTTGCACGATTTGTTCTGGGTAGCTCGGGGGGTGGGGGGGGGAGGAGGGGGGGGATAAGAACGTCATTCATATTGCCTCCATGCCCAACATACTAGTATTTACAGCGGTTTCGCCTATTTTGTACAACATACTGCACAATGATGTGGAACAAGAAGATCTGTCACAAGCGTCCATGCCGGTCGCGACCGTGCCCAAAACACTGGTATTTGCAGCGTTTTATCGAAAAAGACACTTGCTGTTTGTGTACAGGTTGCGAGGCTTTCGGGTTCACAGTGTCTAAGAGAGAAGAACACCTCACCTCGAAAAAGACCCTTACTGTTGAAAACCAACTGATGTATCAATACAACTGAATAGTTTTGGCTCTTGCAAGAACCTGAAATTGTCCTAAAATCGTACAACAACCTAGGAAATAAACACATTCACGCCCTTGAAAGTAGCAAGGCGCCTCGCGCGCGTGTGACCAGGGTTGAGTATTCTTCACATGTTTGGGGGGTTCTTAAGCAAATAGTAGTTGACGTGCCCTCCTTGTTGTCGATCGTTTGCGTTCTGGAGAAAGGTCAGCGGCTGCTCATGGCTGATCAGGAGGCAAAAGAAGCTTGGATACTTGGAAATTGTTTTGGATTTTTGGGCACTGTAGCTCCTAAGAAACAGCTAAAACAATAGTTTTTGCCAGGGTTCCAAGTTCAGTATAGGAAGTGCAGGGCCTGGCTCTGGCTGCTGAAAAGGAGTACCAGGACGAGATGCACGAGACTTGGCCAAGTCCCCCCCGCCCCCCCCCCCCCCCCCCCCCCGGAAAAGGGATCTGGCTGCTTGTGGCCTAAAGCCCTAAAACCGAAACCCCAAGCCCTAAACGTGCAGCCCTATAGTTGTTCCGGGCTGAGAGCATGCGGAAAGACATATTCTTGCAATTACTGGAAATCGTGGACGAAGGGAACATGGGGCAGAGGAGTTCACTTTGGACTTCAAGAAACACATAGGGACTGCAGATTCACCCATGTGGGGAAGGATCAATTGGATTAAAAGCAGATCACCATTGGCCGGAGTTCGGTATTGTCGAGAGAAGTGCACACCTACCAGGGGAGCCCCTGATTGCAGAGGGTTTAGGGTTTAGGGTTTAGGGTTTAGGGTTTAGGGTTTAGGGTTTAGGCGGAGCCTCAGCAGTCCTAGCAAAAGTGTGGTTAGGGTGCCCAATGCCCGGAGCCTTCGACTCTTCCCATGCCCTGCCATAGCTAAGAGATGCCTTCCCAGCACAGGATGCGGCGATGAGGGACTTCCGCCGCACGCAAGCGAAGGCTTGCTGCTGCTGTGGGATTGTTTGGATGCTGTTTGTGCCTAAACCCTAAACCCTAAACCCTAAACCCCCCCAGTGTGAACATTCTACAGAGCCTTGAGTTTCATTCCAGGTCTCAGGGCTGACTAAGGGGTTGGTGGCGATTGAGTTTTGCAAGGTGCCGTCGCTTTGAGGACGCTGTCCAAAGGTCGTTCAGTGTGGGATGCTCGCACTCGGACATTGCACGCACCCAGAGAGCACAATGCCCATGAATTACGGGATATACCTTAAATCATGTGCTTAAGGGCCTCAAAAAAGATTCGAAAGAACATAATAATAATCCCGATATTGCCCTTACAAGGAAAAGTTCTTTTTACTTTTTGTGGGGCCCTTGGAATCTCGAGTTCGGACTCTGCAACCTTTCAGACTACAGCTGGCTCTTCAAATATTCTTCGTTCTTTGCAAAGGCTGGCGCTTGGGACTAGCAGTCCTTAATGGGGATTATGATGGGGGTACTACAATCCCTATTAGGAACTGCTAGTTTCAGGGGGAACATCCCAAGCTGGCGCCCTCGCCCTAAACCCAGACAGTCCGCAAGACCGCATGCCTAAACCCTAAACCCTAAACCCTAACCGCGTAAAGACTGGAGGCGCTGGCGCAAGATGCCGCGCACATCCGCGAGACGGCTGCGGGGCAGCACGTGATGTCTGTGTTTAGTTGCCCCTAAACACCCTTTTAGGGTTTAGGGTTTAGGGCTAGGGTTTAAGGGTTAAACCCTGTAAACCCTATACGCCCTAGAAGCCCTACAGGCCCTAAACCCGAACTGCGCATGGGGGGTTCCGAAAATCAGGACCCCTAGTACAGAACCTTCAAAAGGTAGGATTCCCTTATCATAAGGACCCCCAATAAGGTACCCCCTAATTTCGGAAACCCCCACATGTCTGCGGCTTGTCCCCAAACCCCAAACCCTAAACCCTAAACCCTAAACCCTAAACCCTAAACCCTAAACCCTAAACCCTAAACCCTAAACCCTAAGCTGCTGTTCCTGATGCGCCAAGGCCTCTAGGTTGATTGCCTGGTCGCTAGCCGCCATGGTCTTTGTCGACACAGCCTTCAGCATTATTGGAATTTAGATGGGCCCGAGGTGTCAAGGGGTTTTAGGATTCAGGGGTTTAGGGTTTAGGGTTTAGGGTTTAGGGTTTAGGGTTTAGGGTTTAGGGTTTAGGGTTTAGGGGAGGATTTGGGAGCTTAGGAGTTTAGGGTTCAGGGTTTAGCGTGTAGGGTGAAGGTGTTTAGGATTTAGGATTTAGGGGTTTAAAGCAGGGTGTTGCCGGCAGCCTCCTCAGGCCTTGCTTATACAAAGGGGTTTAGGTGTTCCGGGTTTAGGCTCGGGCCCAAGTGTGTTACAGTGAGCCGGGAGACAGGCGTGATGTCCAGCATGGTCGGCAGTAGCCATCCCTGCGAAGAACCAAAAATCCTAATGAAGATACCACTGCTCAAGGAAGAACATGTTTGACAGGGTTTAGGGTTTAGGGTTAAAGGGTTTACGGTTTAGGGTTTAGAGGGATGTTGAACATCTTCCACTTGTAGGCTCATACTTCCATTGCTAAAGACCGACATTGTCGGCTCATGACAGGGGCAGGGGCAAGTGCTGGTTGCTGGTGCGAAACTCCATGCGAGTCTTGCTGGCTCTTGAGCCTTTAGCGTTGGGATGTTCTCCCCCTAGACGAACAGTCCTTAATAGGGATTAGACTAGGGGTACTCTAAACCCTATTAAGGACTGCTTGTACAAGGAGGAACATCCCAGCTTTCGCGCACCATTGTGATGATTCTGAGCATGTTGGGCAGACAAAGTTGCCGCATGCAGGCGAGACTGCGGGCCTAAGAAGTCGTTGATAGCATCACATATCGTCCGTGCATGTCCCTGCATGTCGCTGTGGCCACCCGCAGGCCAGTGTAGAATTCAGACAAGGCGGAAGGCATAGCAGGGTCCAGGTGCATCAAAGTAACATCAAGGGCTCGGACTTCGCCATGCCACCGAATTATGCAAGGGCTGGGAGAGTGGCCCCCGATTCCGAGGATGGTGTGATTCGTATGGTATGCCATGGCACGTCTAGGTGGGTGAACCATGAACCCCCCGAAAGGCGCGGACCCTGTGTTGTGCAGAGCGAATGTAGCACGCAGTGCCGATGACTTTTCTTGACTGGCAGCTTGCGGTCTGCGACGCCATCGCCACGTTGAGCATCAACGTTACGGAAGCTTACCCAAGCTAGTGAGGTCATGTTAAGCATCAACGTTACCGAAGCTTGCCTAGCCTAGTTAAGTCATAGCAAGAACCTGAGAATTTCTGGCTTGCAGTTGCGAGACCTAGGCAGCGTACGGGACTCGCCCGCAAGACTATTATCCTAGTGGCGGTCAATTGGTGTCCGATCCCCCCTTCAAGTTGCTGACCTTTATACTATCTATCCATATACGTTATCCATATACGTACATATGTATGTATATATGTATGTATATGTATATATATATACATTATATATGTATATATATATATACATGTATTTATTCATGTTTGTATGTATATGTCTATTCAATATATATATATATATACATAAACAAGTTATTTCAAAGTTGTATATACTATGTTTCCGGTGGCCGCTTGCATGTGTACATAGCTTGGAGGACAGGACGCTTTGTTGGCCTGCCCGCGGCTGCCGTACGTAGGAAGAAAGGCGGCACGGCATTTCAGAAACTCTGCAGCAGAAGTGAAGTTCAAGCCCTAAACCCTACATAAACGCTAAACCCTAAACCCTAAACCCTAATAAACCCTAAACCCTAAACCCTAAACCCTAAACCCTAAACAAACGCTTTGGTGAGCCCCATGAGCTGAAACAGGCAATCGACACATGGTTCGACTCTCCTAAACCCTAAACCCGAAACCCTAAACCCTAAACCCTAAACCCTCCCCAGTCCCCTGTCATGAGGATCTTATAAAGGTTCCCCCACCAAGGGCCCTCAGCGGCCTTGATTAAGAACAGCTGCAGCGGGCACTGGCTGCGCAAGAAGCTTGGGAAAAGAGCAAAGCTACAGGCGGCAAAAAAGTTAGAATGCTTCGGTGGGTGCTCCTTTAAGACTGTATACAATCTGAATACCCTTAAGCTAACCGAGATCAAGATGAATGCTCCCAACGAATTGATAGCACGTATATGCACGTATACATATTCGTTGCTCTTTTCTGGACTCAGCGAAATAAAGCTTGAAGGTCGCGTGCGTGAAGCCAAGATGAACGAAGTAACGCTCTGCACGGTTGATTGGCTCATGTAGTTCGAAGCTACCCAAGGAGCCCCATATCACTTAACTAAAGGAATATCTAAACCCTAAACCCCTAACCCCTAACCCCTAAACCCTAAACCCTAAACCCTAAACCCTAAACCTCCATAATTATTGGGCATACAGGACTCTCTGGGTAGGACTGTTCAGTCCTTCGGGCTCCAGACTCCGAAGCGCCACCTTCCAAACCTCCAAGCAATCCTAAAAACCCTCCGCTCTCACAGGGTTTAGGGTTTAGGGTTTAGGGTTTAGGGTTTAGGGTATCATTCCCGGCCGACTCCCCAAGCCCGGATGCAAAAAAGGGTTTAGGGTTTAAGGTAACCTAAAACTTGTAAGTAGGGTTATCACGTACCCTAAATAGGGCTAGAAGTATAGCTGCCATACTAATCACCCTACTGATAGCTACCCATGGGGCCCCACAGCCTCCTAAACCCTAAACCCTAAACCCTAAACCCTAAACCCTAAACCCCTCGCCCTCACCTTCCGAGGTTCAAACCTGGCCCCTCTGCGGGCTGACGCTGGGAAACGCCTCGGACCTGGACCTCTCCACGCCCTGGGATGCTCCTTGTAAGGTTTAGGGTTTAGGGTTTAGGGTTTGGGGTTCAGGGTTTGGGGTTTAGGGTTTGGGGTTCAGGGTTTAGGGCTTAGGGTTTTGGGTTTTGGGGGATGATCATAATTATATAATGGGGGGGCAGTACTGCAATTCCTTTTAAGGACTGTTAGTATATGAAGGCGGACCCACGACCTGCAAGTATATCCTTTAAATTCTCAGCTTGGCACACAAGTAAACCCTAGTTTAGGGTTTAGGGTTTAGGGTTTAGGGGCCCAAGACCCAACTGACCAATCCCGAATCCCTCAAAAGGCGAAGCCTCTTGAGTTGCCTTCTGTAAAATGCACAAGTTGAGAAATGATCAGAAAAGGCCTAAAGTCCCTAAACTCTGAAACCGATTAAACCCTTTATAGACGCCAACGAACACCCCGAAAGCCCTAAACCCTAAGTCCACCCCTTGCAGACCCCATGCTCGAGGCTAGCTGTCATGTGCGTCCACATCAGGATTATTGCCCAAAGAGCCCAATATCCCTTGATGAAGGAATAGACCTTAAATCAGATTAAGCATCCCTATATAATTTAAGGGTCTATGCCTTAGTAATCAAGGGGTATAAAGGGCTCTCTGGGTACCTTTCAACGTGATCCTTCAATTGCTACCCTTAGCATTCTTCTGGTAGAGCGTTGGGGCTCAGGCTTTAGGGCACTATTATCATTCCCCAAGGGTCCATGTACCTCAACAGGGAAGAAACTGGGGCCTTGGAGCACCTCCGATTTAGGAACTCTAGGTCTCTAAGCACATAGTGAGGTATATATGGATCCTAGGGATTGCTGCTATGGCAGAGTTTTGGGCTCAGGCTTTAGGGAAACCCGAAACCCTCAACCCTAAACCCTAAACCAGTGTTGGGCTCAAGCTTTAGGGCAGGGTTCAAGATCCGCCAAGCGAGCGCGCTCATGGGGTGCCGGGCTCAGGGCTGCGTGCAAGGGACAGTGGTCGGCTCTTTGGTGAGGAGGTTTGGGAAGGTTCAGGTTGACCCGTAAACGGGGTTTGGTAGGGTTTAGGGTTTAGGGTTTAGGGTTTAGGGCCGTAAACCTTCTAAGGGCAATGAGACATGACTGCACGGGTGTCTTTCTGGTGTTGGGTTTAGTGAGGTTTCTCTTGCCTAGGATAGTATGATGAGCTCGCTATGGGGGTTTCCGAGAGTAGGGCTACCCTATTGGGGTCCCCATGGAATGTCACTGTTGTACCTTTGACTACTATTTGAAGCAGAACCCCGCAACAAAACATGTTGTTCCAGAAAGGTTAATAATGGGATCGTTATCTTTTAGTTGGTGTTTTTTATAAACACTAAACCCTAACCCCCCCCCCCCCCCGCCGGGGTTGGGGTGGTTCTTAAGCAAATGGTACGTTGATCCAACAAGGACTCCACATCCTTTCAGGGGCATGCTGTGTTTCTAGAACATGGGGGGGAGGGGGGGGGGGTGCCCTTTTTGGGGGTCCTTCTTAAGGAATTTTAAAAGGGGATCCCTATTCTATTTGAAAGAATTAACAGGGTACCCCTATTTTGGGAGATGCCCATATGCTGTGTTTCTGGAACATGGGGAGCCGCCTTTTTTGGTCCCTAAACCCTAAACCCTAAACCCTAAACCCTAAACCCTAAACCTGCAAAACCCTAAACCCTAAACCCTGAAATCCCTAAGTCAGGACGGAGATGTGCACCGAAGTGGCCGTCCGAGCTGCACCCAACCCCTTCCGCTGGGAAGTCCTGGAGGACGAGCCGAAGGACCCTGAAAAGCCCCAAACCCCAGTAGGGTTTAGGGTTTAGGGTTTAGGGTTTACAGTCGGGTTTAGGGTTTAGGGTTTAGGGTTTAGTGAGCTCCTAAAGCCCCAAAACCCACAAGCCCTGAGCTCCGAAACCGCTACACTCTCGAAGCCCGAAGCTCCTAAACCCCCAAAGACTTCAAACCCTGAGCTCCTGAGCTCCCAAACCCTTTCAACCCTGATCTCCCCTTTTGGAAGTCAGGTTTAGGGTTTAGGCTTCAGGGTTCAAGGAATAAACATCGAGGAAAGAAGGTTTTTTTTTTTTTGTTTTTTTTAACTTTGGGGGGTTTCTCAGCAACTGGTTGAAGAAGCTCAGGGGCAGTTTGGGTTACTAGGTGCCCATCTTGGGAGGCGGCCTACTTGAAGACCACATTCCACATATACATGTTTGGGATTATACATATACAGTTACATATATATATATATATATGTATATGTATGTGTTTGTTATTGTTCAAAGCAGCAATAACATGTGTTTTTGAATCGCCAGCAAGCATTCCCACAACTTCCCGATATAGGTGGAGTAGAGATTGTCCAGGTTGGGAGTTTTGAAGTATCATCCTCCGGGTCCAATCCGCATATCAGTAGATTCGGTACGGTTCAGGGTTGAAGGTGCACAGGTACAAGACTTTCCTAAACTTCCCCCCCAAACCCTGAAACCCGAACGGGTTTAGGGTTTAGGGTTTAGGCTTTAGGGTTAGAACCCTCAACTAAACCCCAAATCCTTAAACCCTCAGCCCTTATCGTCCTTTCATCCTCCCAACGTATGTGGGTCCTTTGCCGCGCGGCTTCTGGGGCGGAATCTCGGGGCATGGTAGGCCCAGAAGGTTTGCAGGCTTCATGGGGTTAAAAGGCTGTATCCCACTGGTTCTTAGTAGGGAATGAGGGAATTAGCTGCCGGATATCCCCCTAACAACCCTTTGAGGGATCCTACCTAATTCCTTCATTTCCTACTGAGAACCAGTCGGCTACAGGACTGATCGGGTTTAGCCCAGGGCCCGAGACCCAATAAGGGCCCCGAAGCCCCGAAAGACTCAGTCTACAATAATGAACATACATGCATATACCCATGTATGCATATATACATATAGAAAAAAGTCATGATGTGATGGGTGGCCTCGTCTAGCCCAGGAAGGCGTTTTTGGGAGTTGTTAACGGTTCGTAACAATCCAAGGTACACATTCCCTGTACAGAGGCCCCTATAAATTCGAGTATTGCTGATTCAACAGCGGTGCCCAATGACTCCAATATCCCTTAATTAAGGAAGATGCCTTAAATCATATTAGGGACCCGACTACAATTTAAGGTATATTCCTTAAACAAGGGATATTGGAGTCTCTGGGTTGTTTCTTCTCCCCTTAGCACAACCCAAAACCCTAAATCCTAAACCGCAGCTGGGCACTGAATACCCGAAGTCCTTAATCCTGAGCGCCCTCCCCCTGCCAGGTTCAGCGAACTTGCGACCCGGTTGAGCTCATGGGCTACCTCTTGCTTTGTTAAGACGTTGAATATGCTTGCTGAATACTGGAAGAGCTCAAAACCTACTTTGTTGGGAGCCCTTGACGGTTTTTTTTTCTCCTTTTTTGGTAGTATCCTCCGAAAGTAGGCTTTGGGTGCTTACGGGCGGCCGCCTCTGCTAAGCATGGCGCGGGTTTTCATCTGGAGCTTCGTTCCAGTGCCGAGCCTCGGCGGTGCTTCGTGCCCTTTTGCCAAGGTATCGGGAGACATTTTCGCTCAACTGAGCCCTTTGGCCGCAATCTCCCCCGCGACACACCCTTCAAGGGCCGGCCCAGCAAACAAGCAGCACCCCTGAGCATCGGTTGCCGCTAGAGGGTCCTCTTGGCCTTTTCAGAACCACCGACTGTAAAGCAACCAAACTTTCTATGCTGACGTAGGCGGTTTTGGAAGAGCGCTTGTAAACATGGAGTTTGTGCTGTTCCCGCTTGCCACCCTAGCGACTCTCCTTTCATTGCGGATGTCTCCCATTCAACATGATCCCTCTACACAAGTTCAAAATGTCACCCTGCACCCTAAACTTCCCAAACCCTAATCCGTAAGTGTCCTAAACCTTCGGATTCTGGCATCACCCGTTGCGACATCGTGCTGAAGTGCTCAAGGTACGAGATTCTGCACACTGGCGGCTTCGTCCGGCTATGCACTGAGCGTGGCCGGGTGTACTGGAGCCTTGGCCATGTCAAGAAGCCTAAATCCTAAACCCTAAACCCTTCTGAAAAAGCGAGGTTTGGCTGGCTTGGTCTCCCGCAACTTTGTGGTTTCGGGGTTTAGGGTTTCGGGCTTAAGAATCATATAGCTTGTGTATACTACTGCAATACCTGTTACACGAACCATAAACCCTTTAAGGGTTCGTTCCCAGAAAACCTCAACCCAAAACCCTTCAGCCCTCCCTCAAGAACCCCAAACTTACTGTTGCGCCGTAGGCTATCTTCACATTGTAGCTAAATCCCAAACCCTAAACCCCAAACCCTAAACCCAAAATCCTAAACCCTAGCCAGGGGAGCGACAGCCCAGAACGAAGGTTCAGGGTGGCTTGGGGTTTAGGGCTTTAGGGGTTTCGGGTGTGGGGTTTGGGTTTGGGAGCAAGGGGTTTTGTACGAGTGCGACACATCCAGATGGATGCACAGAAGCCTGCTGCAGACAGGGTTTAGTGTTTCTTCCAGCACCATCCTCGGTCATGATGTGAGCGGGGGACCCATCGACCCCGAAAGTTGTTCGCCATGGACGCACAATCCTAGTGCAAGGTGGCTTAAAGAGGTCGATATGTTCAGAGGAGCCGCGTGTAGGGAAAACCAACCCAACCCCCCCCACCCCCGCCCCTCCCCATCTGTAGGCTGGCTCAGAATGAGCACGACCATCGGTTACCGGACTGGAAGCTGCATTTCTCTGTCGACATCGCGGACGTGCCCAGGCATGTGGGTTTACGGGCCTAGGGGAGTTTAGGGTTTGGGGTTTAAGGGTTTCCTGGGTCAAGGGCAAAAGGTAACCCCTAAACCCTAAACCCTAAACCACTCCTAAACCTAAACAAGGGTTTAAGGGATGAGGACTTGAGGTTCAGGGGGCTTGGGGAGTGGTTATGAACTTAACATGCGCAGACGGTTCGGATCAAAGGGCCCAACTTTAGGACTGCCAGGCTGCATCCCTAAACCCTAAACCCTAAACCCTAAACCCTAAACCCTAAACCCTAAACCCTAAACCCTAAACCCTAAACCCTAAACCCTAAACCCTAAACCTAAACGGCATTTTTTCCGCATTTTCGGTTCAGGGCTTGCGCCTTTTAGTCCCTGCAGGGCGTGGGATGTGCTGTCCGAGATCTTTCTGAACCAGGTGCGTCCAGCTATCAGAGCTCCTAATCCCTAAACCCTAAACCCTGAACCCGATCAGACCTTCGTCCCAAGCTTCTACTCCACTTTGTTCATGGAGTGCTCCAGTGTATGCCAGAGCTACCACCATAATTTTGAAGATGATTCTAGCATCCTTTCTGTGGGTATGCTATGGGCATATATATATATATATATTTATCTATTTATTTATTTATATTTATTTATATTTATTTATATTTATTTATTTGTTTATTTATAGAAAATACAACGATGTACATATAACCATGGATCTGTATACATAGAATTATTGCAGAGTCTTTGCGCACACTTGAAGTTGGGCCAGGATTTCTTGAGGCCCAAACACGGCATTCTGACTGCGGGGATGAAGGCCTGCGACTTCGGGATGAAGGCCGTTGCTGGCGAGGCCGCTCGGAAGAAGCAAAGGTGCTTGCAGAAGCCTTTAGGATGGTCCCCCTATTCTAACAGTCCTTAATAGGGATAATACTAGGGGGGGGGTACCATAATCCCTATGAAGGACTGTGAGTATAATCAGGGGGAACATCCCAAGGTAGGGTTCATGTCATGGTCAGTTCTCAAGATGATGGTCCCTTTTGGGTGCCCTATAGAATATTCGGGGGGCCGACACCAAAAGGGAGCTGCTCTTGCCCTCTAAGCCCCTGTAGAAACCTTGGGAGCCCAGTGGTACACTTTCCCCTTTTTTTTTTGGTTATGGGTTCCCTAAACCCTAAACCCTAAACCCTAAACCCTAAACCCTTATATTATAAGATGGTTACTGGGCTACCAAGAAACCCTGAGGCTCTCGATTCCTGGCCCGACACGCAGAGGGGGAGGGAGCTCACGGTTCCCTGGCGCCCAGTGGGAAGTTGGTGTTTAGGGGTTGAGGGTTTAGGGTTTAGGGTTTAGGGATTGAGGGTTGCCGAGTGCTGCCCATCTCGCTTCGCAGTGTGCTTACCTCACGAGGCCTGGATGTAAAGAAGGAATGTCTAGGGGTTTGGATTTCGGGTAGGTTTGGGACTTAACTGTTGAGGACTTATAGCGTTGAGGATTTATAGGGTTTAGGATTTGTTTAGGATTTAGGGGGTTTAGGGTTCGGTACTGTTAGCGCAGGGCATAGGGGAGCTTGGGAGTGTGCATGCGGTGTGCAGGAGGGATTTCATGGTGATTGCCGGGGGGCAGTGGAGAGCCGGCAAAAAGTGCAGCCAAGGTCTATATCTTCCAGGACCATCCGGCATACAAAGGGGGTGGTCCGATGATGGGATATTGCCCAGGCATCTGCAGGGGCCCTGCTGGTGTGCCGAGGGTCTTTTGGCGGTTCCGAAGACTAGGGTTACCATTGTTGAAGGGGGTCCGTTGAACGGGGATTCCGCTACATTTGGGGGTAGAACATGCCGGCTTTTCTTGAAGCTCGCCTTAAACCCTAAACCCTAAACCCTAAACCCTAAACCCTAAGCAGCTCCCCGGTAGGCTTCGAACACAACTTCTGGCTGGGACCCGAGTTCGAGCGCGCCGGTGAGTTTTGGCTGGACTTCGTGGCACGTGCGGAGCCTTGGCTGACTTCCCCCAGCTGAAGGTTAGTGTGTAGGGTTTTAGGGTGTAGGGTGTAGGGTAGGGTTTAGGGTTTAGGGTTTAGGGCTGCCACAGGAGCTCTGAAGCAAAAAAAGGCTCTGGGTCTCGCAACTCGCAGAGGCGCATTGAATCCAACGCGCACAGGTGTGTCCTAGAGTGGGGGGTTTGAGGCTTTTTTTGGGCTTGTGGGGTTTATAGTTTCTAGGCGGGCTGTTATCGGGAATGTACAGCATTTATAGTTGAAGGGGTGTTTTTGGGGGTGTCTGGACTTCTGGAACCTCTCGAATTGAGTGTAAACCCTAAACCCTAAACCCCTCTCGAATTGAGTGTCCAGACTATGTCAGGAAGATGCCCTGGCTGCAGCGGGCATCCGGAGCAGGGGGGCCGCTGACGGCCTCTCGACCTGAAACCCCCTAAACCCTAAACCCTATTCCCTAAACCCTAAACCGTGCTCTTCACATCTTGTCTTCTGAGATGGTGTGGTACTGCTCACCTCACTATATGGGGGCTTTGAGATATTAGGGGTACCTTATTGGGGTCCTGATTATAAGGGGATCCTACTATTTGGGGGGGCCTAGATTAGGGATCCCTCTTTTTATCGTAAACCCATATGAAGAATCCGGAAGGTGATAGCTCCCCCCTCAAAAAGCCCAATATCCCTTAAAGAAGGAATTGGCCTTAGAGAGACAGCATCTTAAGGATCCTTACTAATTCCTGTATGATTCATAAGGTATATACCTTAACTGAGGGGCTCTTCCTTCTTGGCGGAAGTTGAGACCCCTACAGGCTGCATCCCTGGCTGCTCCGGTAGATCCAGAGATGCCCAAAGAGCCCAATATTGCTTAATTAAAGAATATTCCTTGAATCATATAGGGAGCCTTAATATGATTTAAAGGTATATTCCTTAATTAAGCACTATTGGGCTCTTTTGGGTCTGAAGTGAGCTCTGCCTCTTGAAGACTTGCAGATGATACTGTTCTAAAGGCTCATCTGGAACATCAAGATGAAACCTAAACCCTAAACCCCTAAACCCACTCCCGCTGAGGTGACCTCTCTCTTGGTCACTATGCCTCCCTTCGGAACGAGGTGAGGGGCCCTGCCCCAGACTCAAGGAACTTGGACATCGAAGTTGAACACCAACTGATCAAACACAGTAAGCTCCGAATGGAAGTCAGAACATGACAGCCGCACTGCAGTCACGCTAAACCCTAAAGCCTAAAGCCTAAACCCTAAACCCTAAACCCCAAACCCCGAACCCCAAACCCTAAACCCTAAACCCTAAACCCTATACCCTATACCCTAAACCCTAAACCCTAAACCTAAACCCTAAACCCAAGCACTCACAATGAGGTCATGCGGGAAAGGCTAGGCTACAGCATGGTAGATGTTGGCCCCACTGTTCCGCAACCTGACAAACCCGCAACCCAGAAGGGAGGCCTTCCGTCAGCTTTGCTCTAAGGACTCCACGTTTAATTAGGGTTTAGGGTTTAGGGTTTAGGAGTGCTCTAAGAGAGACCCGACAGGCCTGCATGATTTTGAGCAACACCCCCCAAAATCTCAGGTGCGGAAGAGGAACACCCCAAAGACTAAACGTAAGTGAGGTGCTGGAGATCGAAGGGTCGCCCCAGCCCTGCAAAGCAGGGAGCCATGCCAGAAACTCCCACACGCAACGATTTTCTCTACGATTCTGCAAGGTTCACGGACTTCTGAGTCTCCCACTCCAGACGACGCGGTTGAAGGGTTTAGGTAAACCTGAAGAACGCTGAACCCTAAACCCTAAACCCAACTCCGCGACGGCGGAGGCCTTCATCTTCGAGCCCGTCGAGGGGCTTTACATCTACCCGCCCAACGAAAGTGGCTGGAGCCATGGTCAGACTTTGTCCGTTTAACCCTTTTCCTTACCCCCTAAGCCCAAAGTCCTAAACCCTAAACCCTAAACCCTATTTGCTTAAGAACCCCAAAAGAATAAAAGATAACAATCCCTATGTTACCCTTAATAAGGAAGAATATATATATATGTATATAGATTTTCTTTTTTTTTTGGGGGGGGGGTTCTTAAGCAATTCGTAGTTACTGTTGGTTAATATGGAATCAGAGAATGAGGCGCCCTATATCCCCTTTCTATACCCTTTAAGGGATTATATAGGGTACCCTATATCTACCCTTTAAGGGATTACATAGGGCCCTATATCCCCCACCCTTTAAGGGATTATGTAGGGTACCTCATTCCCTCATTCCCAACTAACCAACAGTAAGTTTCAACCCCACGCTAAACCTTGTGATCTATAGGGTTTAGGGTTTAGGGGACCAGTGTCCATGTGAGGGGGGGCGGGGGGGGGGGGGGTCTGAAAAAATCTCTTTTTGTTTGGAGTCCTCTTGAAAAGGGCTTCCATTGCATAGTAGAAAGTAGGATAATAGAAATAGGAATTACAATTATGGTTTGGGTAAGTGTCCCCATCTATGTACTTCGGACTGTCTGGGAATGTCCAGGAATGCTGCCGGACACGTTTGCCCACTCCACCTTCCCCTGGCCACCCGCTTGAGCGCGGAGTGCAGCGCAGGTGGGAGCCGAAGCCCCCTACCTTGGGGACCAAATGAAGTTAGGGTTTAGGGTTTAGGGTTTAGGGTTTAGGGTTTAGGGTTTAGGGTTTAGGGTTTAGGGTTTAGGGTTTAGGGTTTAGGGTTTCGGTTTAGGTTTTAGGGTTTAAAAGCTAGAAACAGGGGTCATATAAACTGCCCTATACCACGAGAATCCCTTTTAGGGTATATGAGCCATGAACCTCTCTAGTGTTCATCTGGTGCACAAAGGCATACACCCGAAACCATCATCTTCAGCAGGCTACAGGCTCGCAGCCTCACTGCCATAGTCCGGATGATGTTGGGTCTGCAGCACACGGGGTTTAGGGTTTAGGGTTTGGGGTTTAGGGTTTAGGGTTTAGGGTTTAGGATTTAGGGCAATCTGCTCAACTGACACGGTTGCCAATCTGAAGAGACTTTCTGCTGCGCGCCACTACAATTGTCATAGGCCACTTGTGTCCCAAGTGTCAGGTCCTGTGTGAGGTCGAGCTACAAAGCCCTCGCACAACCCCCCACAGATCTTCCGCAAAACCACTGGGCGTGACTGGACCCTAAACCATAAACCCTAAGCCCTAAACCCTAAACCCTAAACCGCTCCAAGCTCCTTCGAGGCCTCGAGAAACTGCGCAAGCTGCGGGGATCACGTGGCTGCTGCAATCGACGCCGGCGGTAGTCTTCCACTCTGCCTCGTGTGGCAACCTAAGCTATAGAGTTTAGGGTTTTAGGGAGGACGCCCACACTCCCGTGATCCTGGAGCGCCTAAACCCTAAACCCTAAACCCTAAACCCTCTCCTGGGTCCAGGATTTGTTTACGCCTTGGGCTTCCATCCTGGCCTGTCCGTGCAGACTTTAGCAGGTCGGCGCGCGCTGCGGGAGCCACTCTCAGATGTAGTTTCGCCCTAGGCATGTCAAGACTCAGGGGGTAGGTTTGAACATAAATGTTCAGTGCTTATTACCCTAAACCCCCTATCTCATCCTTATCAAGCCCAAAACATTTTATATTCTTAGGGCCCTCGAACCTGCCTAGAGAATCATATACTAAACCCTAAACCCTCCACAGCCTAAACCCTAAATCCTCAACAGCCTAAACCCTATATTCTTCTCATCCAAGGCTTCTTCTGCTTTCTTGAAGTGCCTGGCTTCTCAAAATCTCATGGGAAGGTGGGCTGAGGTTGAAACCCGAAACCGGTGCTCAGGGTTAAGCAAAAAGGGTTCAGGGTTTTGGGTTTAGGGTTTAGGGTTTTGGGTTCAGGGTTCTGGGTTTAGGGTTTTGGGTTTTGGGTTTGGGGTTTAAGGTTTAGGGCAAATAGGGTTTAGGGTTCAGTCAAAACTACACCTGACGTGACCCCCGTGCACGCTACATCGCCGTCGCGCGGCACCCTTGTACAGGCTACCTGGCTTTAAGTTCAGTGGCTTAGGGTTTAGGATTTAGGGTTAGGGTTTCCTTAGGGTTCAAACGGGCAGTTCTGTGTTTTTTCACAAGCAGCACCTGGAAGCATGGAGTGTCGAAGTCACTTCCCTTGGGGGACCCTAAACCCTAAACCCTAAACCCTAGGGGGGGGAGGCTTGCAGTTCGGGAGCAAGTTTACTCCCACTCACTCATTTGGGGGAGTCCGAAAATAATAGGGTTTAGGGTTTAAGGACCCTTAAACCCTGAACCCTTTTTGGACGTCCCCTTTAAGGGGATTCTTTTCCATTTGGAGTATAAAAGGGGTACCCCTATTTTGGGAAATACCGATGTCTGTCACTGTTTGTGTCATGGCATATCGAGGAAACTTAGCATCAGGGATGTCCCTCGGTCGACTGCGGGGCAGCTGCTAGAACCACTTGAGGGGCAACCCTAAATCCTAAACCTAAGCCTGCGAGAGTGAGCGTCGAAACCTAAGCCCTCAACACAGCCACACATTTCTTACACCCCTGGCCTTGCACCCTACTATGCCAGCATGGACCCTAAACCCTAAACCCTGTGAGCCCGGAAGCCCAAAAGTGATGACTGTTTCGAGGGCGGCGAGCACGGCCATGCTCACGCCTGGGCGCGAGCGCGACGTTCATCCAAAACGAAATCTAAAACTAAGGCCTTACTTGGAGGTTCATGGGTAGCCATTTAGGGTTTAGGGTTTAGGGTTTAGCAAAAAGGGTTTAGGGTTTAGGGTAGTTATAAGTAGGGTTATAAGTGTGGCAACGGGCAACTATACTTCTGGCCCCATTTAGGGTACTTTAACCCTACTTATAACCACCCATGAACCTCCAAGTACCCGGCCCCATCGACCTACCCCTCCTACGCTGAACGTTGGAGCCCCTTGAGCGGTTTAGGGTTTAGGGTTTAGGGTTTAGGGTTTAGGGTTTAGGGTTCAGGGTTCAGGATTTAGGGTTTAGGGTTTAGGGTAGCGTTCACACACGGTTTTTGGGGGCGGAGAACCCCAATGATGCAAAGACTCCTAAACTACCAAACCCTAAACCCCAAGCCCTAAACCCTAAACCCTAAGAAGCCTGGAGGCTCCACGCTCCTCAGGGGGCTTGTTTGGCTCAAGGGTCATCCCTATAGCCTAAGCCGCCCGAGGAAAAAAGGCTCATGGTATTCTAAGCCTCAGAGTTTAGGGTTTAGGGTTTAACCTTATCTGATGGCGTTTTTCTCCACCCTGTCTTGTCTCTGAGGTTTCGGCCGCGGGCGTTGCCCAAAGAAAAAAGCCGATTGCGTTTTCTTGTCAGAGGGTGTTAGGTCTTTCGGATCTTCAGGGTTTTTAGGGTTTTTAGGGCCTTTTAGGGTTTTTTGGGTTTTTGGGGTTTTAGGGTTTTTAGGGGCCCGGTTGCACAAGGTGCTGCGGCTTGCGGTGCCTTGCTGTTGGGTGTTACGTCAGTGCTTACAGGAAGGGGCCTTGTCTTTTCAGCGTCTGCCGGGCGAGCGTTGACTTTGCACAATGCTTGGCTCGAGACAGGTGGGGTCCTTGCCCTTACTTTCGTCACATTTAGGGTTTAGGGTTTAGGGTTTAGGGGTTGCATGCGGGGCCCCTAGATCAAGAAGGTTGAATCCTGAACTTTTGCCGGGACAACCAATTATGAGGGATTTAGGGTTTGGGGTGTAGTGGGTTTGGGGGGGCGCTTAGCTATTCGGCTTATACTTGAGTCAACACCACGTGTTCCAGACCCTTAACCTTTAGAACCGCTCACCGCGACTAATTAGTGGTTTGCAGCCAGCTCTCTTTTTCTAAGTGCAGTCGACGCGTGGCGGCTCTTATTTGGGCATCATGTGCCTCGTCGCGCAAGTATTCGACTGGTAACATATCTTTCCGGCCGCTTCTCTGGGGGCGAAGAACTTGACCGGGGAGCATGCACGCATCCCCCACGGCATGGGGTTCGTGTATCTTGCACCTAACACCCAGTTTTCGCCGTTGAACTGTTTTTGTACTGACAACTGGTGCATGATAAGAAGCAAAATTGGCCACTGGTTTTGAACAGCCCCAAAGGGTCCTACTCAGGACTTTGACCAAGCCCATGATCGAGGAGGACTGATCTTACTTGCCTCGGCTTGCCCCAAAACGGCCCTAGTCATGCAAACGCTAAAGGCCTCATGTAAATCACTTCTACACTTCAACCTAATGCGACCCTAAACCCTAAACCCTAAACCCTAAACCCCCAATTGCAATTGTTTAGCCGAAACCTGGAGTTTGGTAGACAGGACATCGACAGCATCGACAACTGTGCAGGGCGACTGACGGTTCCCGTGGAGGCCATCTGGATGGTGGCCCAGCTCGTCCTTATTAGGGGTAGTGTTTAGGGTTCAGAGTTCAGGGTTTAGGGTTCAGAGTTCAGGGTTTAGGGTTCAGGGTTTAGGGTTTAGGGCAGCTCTGTCTGGGTAGGCTCTTATTCCCTTTCTTGGGGGGGTCTAGGTTCCCTTACAAGGGACAGCATAATTATAAGCTGTAAAAGTAGTAGGCTCTTATTCCCTTCCTTTTTTAGGGTCTAGGTTCCCTTACAAGCCCCTGCAGACCAAACAGGGCAACCTGGTTGTTCCTAGCTTCCTCCTGGGGGTCTACAGGGATTGTACCCCACCCTAAACCCTAAACCCTAAACCCTAAACCCTAAACCCTAAACCCTAAACCCCAAACCCTAAACCCTAAACCGAGGTGGTCGGAATGAACTGTCGATATATACTACTGCTTGGCATGTGCCTTTTTCTCGAACCGGATTGACCACTGGGGGCGCAGTTCTTCACATGTTGCAGAGTCGTATAGTTGGATGAACGGACCCATTGACCTTGCCGGCCTTGTGCGAGAGTGAGCGACTAAACCCTAAACCCTAAACCCTAAACCCCTAAACCCCTAAACCCTAAACCCTAAACCCTAAACCCTAAATTTAAGAGCCTCCGGCTCAAGCCGCCGACCCCGCCGGAGCATTGTTCAGGGCTCAAGCGGCGCAGCGTGCCCCGGCGCCAAACCCTAAACCCAAACCCGACCCTAAACCCTCTAAACCCTAAACCCCCTAAACCCCTAAACCCCTAAACGCTCTAAACCCTAAACCCCCTAAACCCCCATAAGCCCCTAAACCCTGAACCCTCAGCTCGGGGATGGGTCGGTGAAGCGAAGGCCTTGCCCACAGCGCGCCGCTTTTTCTCGAAGAACGCGTGTACCCAAAGAGCCCAATATCCCGTCATTAAGGAATATGCCCTAAATCATAATAAGGATCCCTATATGATTTTAGGAATATTCCTTAATTAAGGAATATGCCTCAAGTCATAGTAAGGGTCCCTATATGAATTGAGGAATATTCCTTAACTAAGAAATATTGGGCTCTTTGGGTAGCAGTCGGCTAAAGCGGGCGGCAAAAAAAGGCTGAGCAACCTGAAGCCCCTAAACCCTAAACCCTAAACCCTAAACCCTAAACCCTAAACCCTAAACCCTAAACCTAAACCCTAAAGAGCCCCCAAAGTCCCTTATAACTTCCTAGACCCTGAAGCCCCTAAACTGCAAAAAAGGACCCTAAAAGCCCTAAACCCTAAACCCTAAACCCTAAAAGCCCTCAACCCCAGAGGGCTCTTAAACCCTAAACCCTAAAAGCCCTCAACCCCAGAGGGCTCTGAACCCTCCGGCGTGGCTGGTCTTCAACTCCCAAACGCGAGTCAGGCGGTAGCTATTGTCATGACCTTACTTAGCTTATAGCCCTACTTGTAAGTACCCTAAACCCTAAACCCTAAACCCCAAACCCTAAACCCTAAACCCTGAACCCTAAACCCTAAACCCTAAACCCTAAACCCCGAGGTTTGCCTAACTGTCTTCATCGACTCATTGGGCGGGTCCATCTCGGCACCGGTGATGCCGCATCTATGGCAGCAAAGCTTAGGGTGTAGGGTTTAGGGTTTAGGGTTTAGGGTTTAGGGTTTAGGGTTTAGGGTTTAGGGTTTAGGGGTTTAGGGGTTTAGGGTTTAGGGTTTTAGGGGTTTAGGGGTTTAGGGGTTTAGGGGTTTAGGGGGGGTTTTTAGGGGTTTAGGGGTTTAGGGGTTTAGGGGTTTGGAGTTTTAGGGGGGTTAGGGGGTTTAGGGGTTTAGGGGTTTAGGGGTTAAGGGGTTTAGGGGTTTAGGGGTTTAGGGGTTTAGGGGTTTAGGGGTTTAGGGGTTTAGGGGTTTAGGGGTTTAGGGGTTTAGGGGTTTAGGGGTTTGGGGTTTACGGGTTAGGGCTT